TGAAGTAATGATCCAGGCTGGAGATGGAAATGCAGTCTGTGGAGGGTCTGCTAGGGCGGGGCCTCTCCTGAAGGGCACTGCCACACTGGGCTGCATGTCTGTCCTGCTATGGGGCTGGCCCAGGCAGGGGTCTTGCTGGGCGGAATAGCCTGATGTCTGAGGGAGGCCAGTTTGCCTGCCACTGTGGGAGCTCTGTGCCTTGCCACCGGTCTATCTGTGTGTCTAACTGCTCAAGCCTCCCGGGGACAGGGCAGGCAGTAAGTGCCCCAATCTGACCTCCAGTAGAAGGCCTGGGTTCAGCATTGCCTTCTGTGCTGCAGGCCCTGAGGCTGGCCTTTCCTGCCAGGCTCCTCTAGAGTCACCTCTGCGCCCTGCCCACGGTCAGTGACACTGAAGCCCAGACTGTCTGTGGGATGGAGTTTGAGGCTCTTGGGGCCTTGTGGGGGCTGGTACTCGTGGACCATACTTCAGCCTCCCAAGGCAACCTTGCTCAGGTCTGCTTTTACACTTTCGGCATGGACACAAGATTTTCCCGTGAAAAAAGTGTTTTATGCCTCAGAAGCACTTTCAGAGAAGCACCGAGTTCAGCCCCAGCTGGTGGAGGACGCTGAGGACACGCTTAAAGCCTGGCCCTGCTCAGCTCCTGACGGCAAACTCCACGTGCACCCCAGGGTGGCCTTTTCCTGCCAGGGTCCTCCAAAAGGAATGGGGATGTTTTGGGTGGGTTCTTATCAGGGTGGGCCTGGCACGCCTGTGGGCCTCAGGTGGGTTGCGCCTGAGTCCACCCACCGCTGGGGGACACACATGCACAGCTGTCAGCCTTGCCTCTCAGGCAGCTGCAGCTCCCTCCTGGTTGGCGAGAACAGGCTGGCTGGGAAGGCTTGCACCTGCCACAGCCAAAACTGCTTGCAGAGATGTGATCAGAACCATCTGAAGAAGGAATGATTATGAAGTGATGCCTGTTAGTCAGAAGTGACGTCTAGAACTTGCCATGGGAGCCTGCATTCTGATGATTGCAACTAGGTAGGGAGTCTGGGCTCCCTTGGCACCTGCAGTCCCCGGCAGGACCCCTAGGCTCTTCACAGCCTGCCCTGGGCTTCCCCGCCCTGGAGACCCAGACCCAGGGGTTTCTGGTGTTGATGACCTAGGTGCTGATGGGAACCGGGCCACGCACCACCTTGAGAAAGAGAGCAGGATACTTGGGGCCTCCCTCTCCAGCCCTCCAGTCCTCCAGGGCCCACAGCTGCTGGACTGTCCCGATACTGCCCTCAACCGCTGCAGACAGAGGAAAAGATCTCATTCTCAGTTTTCACATACGATGCTAAAACAGTTTCACTCTCTCAGACAGGGAGCTTTTCTAGGTCACCGTCGACAGGCGCTTGCAGTTCAACGTTGCTGCTTAGCTCAGTTCTCTGCTGAGAAGGGGCTGTCAGCACTGAGTCTTGCTTACTGCTTTGGCAGGGCAGCAGCCATGGGGGCTTCTCTTTGGGAGGAGCCTGCCCTGGCACCAGGAGGACACTAATTATCTGGTACTGTCAGTTTTCATTGCAGGCATGTTGTGTATTTGAGATAAAATTTACAAACCATAAAATTCATTCTCGCTCTTCAACCACAGTTCAGTGGCTTTTAGTGCATCCACACTTGAGCACTGTCTTGGTTCTAGAACACTTCACTCCCTAAGCAGACCCTTCCCCTGCTGCCACTGTTCCACCCACCTCCTCACCTGGGGCCTCACCGCGCGCACTTTAGTGCCCGCTGTTATCTGCTTCTGGGGTCTTTCATCCTGCCTTCTTTTCATTCTGATTTTCTTGAGGTTTTTAAAGCATTTGAGTGCTTGCCCCGGGCATTCCAGGAACACCTTCCCAGAGCAGTCTTGGTTCACATGCTCCGGCTCTCTCCTCCCTCCTTTGGGCCAGCACTGTTGAACAGGGTTTGTCTTCACACATATCAGGCTGATGGCTGCTTCTGTCTAGGCTCTTCACAGCCTGCCCTGGGCTTCCCCGCGCTGGAGACCTAGACCCAGGGGTTTCTGGTGTTGATGACCTAGGTGCTGATGGGAACTGCCACACTGGGCAAGAGGGTCTGAACAAGGCAAGAGTGAACCCTGAACAAGACTGCATGTGTTTTGCTTTGTGTGCTCAACCCCCGTCGTCACCTTCACTTCTGCCCAGTGTCTTCTTGTAGGTTCCATTTCAATTACTTGAAGGACTCTCTGTAGCATTTCTGGTAGGGCAGTCTGCCAGTGGGGATTCGCTGCTGCTGCTGCTGCTGCTGCTGTTTGGCAGAGGCATAGTTTCTTTTTCATTTGTGGAAGGTGGTTTCTTGGATATAAAATCTCTGCACACATTGAATGCAGCATTGGTTTCTGATGGGGGTTCCACTCTAATCTGTGGGACCCAAGGAGGGGCATGTCGGCCTCCTGCTGCACTCAGGCCCCTCTGGGAGTTCCTGTGGCAGTCACCTGGCTTGACCTGTGTTGTACTCAGGGCATTGCTCGGGGAGATCCCCCTTACCATCATATCTGCAGTCCCCCTCCCTCTTCACAAGTTCATGACAGCTGTCTGCCCCCCCCCCTCCTCTGTGCTCTCTGGGGACTCTGACATTCCTCCTGGGCTGTGTGAAGGTGCCCTCGGGCCTGTGAGCTGTGGGCCATGCCCTTCAGTCCTCAGTGTTTCTGTTCCCTGGCGGATGGCGTCAGCTGACCTGACTTCAGGTGGGCTGACCTGCCTGCTCAGATCTTCTGAGGACTCCCTAGTGAACCCTCCTGTTCAGTGATCACACTTTCCGTCTCCAGCCCAGGGTCTCTGGACTTCAGTGGGCTGACCTCTGCCTGCTCAGATCTCCTGAGGACTCCCTAGTGGATCCTCCTGTTCAGTGATCACACTTTCCGTCTCCAGCCCAGGGTGTCTCTGGAGTTCAGTGGGCTGACCTGCCTGCTCACATCTCCTGAGGACTCCCTAGTGGATCCTCCTGTTCAGTGATCATGCTTTCCGTCTCCAGCCCAGGGTGTCTCTGGACTTCAGTGGGCTGACCTCTGCCTGCTCAGATCTCCTGAGGACTCCCTAGTGGATCCTCCTGTTCAGTGATCACGCTTTCCGTCTCCAGCCCAGGGTGTCTCTGGACTTCAGTGGGCTGACCTCTGCCTGCTCAGATCTCCTGAGGACTCCCTAGTGGATCCTTCTGTTCAGTGATCACACTTTCCGTCTCCAGCCCAGGGTGTCTCTGGAGTTCAGTGGGCTGACCTGCCTGCTCACATCTCCTGAGGACTCCCTAGTGGATCCTCCTGTTCAGTGATCATGCTTTCCGTCTCCAGCCCAGGGTGTCTCTGGACTTCAGTGGGCTGACCTCTGCCTGCTCAGATCTCCTGAGGACTCCCTAGTGGATCCTCCTGTTCAGTGATCATGCTTTCCGTCTCCAGCCCAGGATATCTCTGGACTTCAGTGGGCTGACCTCTGCCTGCTCAGATCTCCTGAGGACTCCCTAGTGGATCCTCCTGTTCAGTGATCATGCTTTCCGTCTCCAGCCCAGGATGTCTCTGGACTTCAGTGGGCTGACCTCTGCCTGCTCAGATCTCCTGAGGACTCCCTAGTGGATCCTTCTGTTCAGTGATCACGCTTTCCATCTCCAGCCCAGGATGTCTCTGGGGTTCAGTGGGCTGACCTCTGCCTCCTCAGATCTTCTGAGGACTCCCTAGTGGATCCTTCTGTTCAGTGATCACGCTTTCCGTCTCCAGCCCAGGGTGTCTCTGGACTTCAGTGGGCTGACCTGCCTGCTCACATCTCCTGAGGACTCCCTAGTGGATCCTTCTGTTCAGTGATCACGCTTTCCGTCTGCAGCCCAGGGTGTCTCTGGAGCTCTTTGTATAGCCCTCACCTGTTACTGAGGGGCTTGTGTGCAGGTGGGGTGTGGCCTCATTCACCACCCTACCTCGTGTTCCTTCCTAGGTGGTGGAGCTGCCACTGCAGGGGACTGCCTGCACCTTCCCAGGCCCTGCTTTGGGGGGCTCTGTCCTCAAGGATTTACGTTTGCATTTTTGGTCAGCTTCTTTTTTTAAAAAATATTTATTTAGTTGTTGATAGACCTTTATTTTATTTACTTATTTATATGTGGTGCTGAGAATCGAACCCAGTGCCTCACACATGCCAGGCAAGTGCACTACCATTGAGCCCCAGCTCCAACCCTTGGTCGCTTCTTGATATTGCCACCTGGAGCCGATCTTGACAGTTGCTGCTGAGGGTTCTGGGCCTGTGGAGCATGAGCCCCGCCTGGGTTGGGAGACCAGCCCTGGGCGGGTGTAGTGGCCACTGCCAGGCTCCACAGTGCTTCAGTCTGTCCCATCCCCATGAACCCTGGGGGCACTGGTTCTCAAGTCTCTTCAGAGGTGCAGAGGATGGTTGGGAGAGCTCAGACACCCTGGAGCCTGTTCCTCTGGTGGTGGCTTGGTCTTCATGTTTTAGTGATGCTCTTTGGATTGTTGCAGACCTCTCCGAGGCCCCTCAGTTCTGAGTAAGGTGACTCCACAGTGTTTGGGGCCTTCTAGAAGCACTTCTTATATGGTTTTTCTTTTTTAAAAAAAGAGATTGTTTCAATGCTATGTTAATTCATCTAAGTGAACTTTAAAAACACTTTTCACTTAGGAAAAAAGAGTTGTATACCTTTTAAAGCTGAAGGAACCCTGGTGTCTGACTATCTAGTATTGTCATGACCATGACCCCTTGATGGTGGATGATTTCCTGTTGTGACCATCTCAGATGATCTTGGCCACCAGCACACAGGGGCTGCAGCTGCATCCCAGGACAGGACTCTGTCCTCCTGGTTGTGATTCGAGGACTTCATGTGAGCCTGTGCCTGCCTGGGTGGCAGGTGGCAGGCACTGTCTTGTGGGGAGAGGGGCTCAGGAGATGCTCCCTGAATGTGCTGGAATCTAGTGAGCTGCAGAGAAGTGGGTGCTCCTTTCCCAGGTCAACACACTGACGTTGGTGTTAATGTCCTTCACACAGGCTGCATTGGAGAGTGAGCAGGAGCCTGCGGCGTGTGAACAGGAGAGTGAGCAGGCGCGGTCTCTCTGCCAAAGGAGGAGCAAGCCTCTGCAGCCCCAGGAGGACAGCCAGGTTCAGCAGGTGTGTGGTGGGGGGGGGGTACCGCTCAGTGGCAGGGAGCACTTTCTGCATGAGCAGCTTCACCTCCAGCCCCGCGTGACCCTGCCCCGCACACACCTGGATCATGCTCTCCATGGGAGGACTCAGGTCCCCCACAGCCTAACACCCCCGCTCTTCTTCCCATCTGGGATCTGGCTGCTCGTGGGCTTCACGGTCCTGGACTCGTGCAGGGCTGGTCCTTCGGTGACTGGAGCCTTCGACTCACACAGCCCCTTGGGTCCTCTGAGCGGTGCCACTGTGTGCAGCTTCATTCCTTCTTGGAGTGGGTGGCAGGCCGTTGCCCTGTCTCCTGTGGTCCTGCGTGATGCTGCTGGGAACGCTGACCCAGCCCGTAGGTCTTCTGGGCCAACGTCGGAGGGGTTGCTGTGTCCCGTGCGTGGCGCTGTGTTTAGCCATTGCAGCATGACCGTTCCTCACTCTCTCCTGCCAGCGCGCCCCAGGGTTCTGTCCCTCCAGCCCTTACCCAGTTATCTTGTGCTTTGCTGGTGGCAGCCATTGATGATGGGTGTGACGCAGTGGCTCGCTGTGGTTTTCCCTAGTGGTGTGATGCTGAGCGTCTTTTCCTGTCCTTAGTGTCCTTTTGTCTCTTCTTTGGAGAAAGGCCTGTGAGTTCCTCTGCCTGTTGTGAGTCAGGAGGTTGGTTCTTGCTGCTGTGTTGGAAGGTGTGGCTGTTTCCACGCTGTGTGGCCACAGCCCCTGCTGGTCTCTCACTCCACCTCTTCCCTGGCTTTGCTGCAGTGCAGGGCGCTGGGCTTGACCTCACAAGGAACTGGAGGTGAGTGTGCTAGTGCGTGCGTGCCAGGTACTGTCCTGGGGATGCCAGTGTTCTCGCTTCTGAATCCTCAGGGCTCTGGGGCCTGGGGAAGCACCTTCCCGACTTCCAGATCCTGCGGTTGCTGAGAAGCAGCTCGTCTGACTGCAAACACTGGCGGAAGGTTTCTGTGGGATCGTGGCAGTGGTCAGTCAGCAGCAACAGTCCAAGGGACCTCTTCCCAGCTCAGAGGCTCCTCTTGTGTGGAAGCCAGTGGCCTTGTTCAGGGCCACTGGTGGGGGCAAGGGGTAGCAGTACCAGTGAGGCTGTGGGGGGTAATTTCATCCGAGCCCCCGGACTCTGAGGGACGGAGGCCTTCCAGAGTACGTCTGAGACCTCTTCCTAAAGGAGCTGCCTTGTTTCTTCCTCCTTCCCCACCCCTCTCCCTCTCCCTCCCACCCTCCCTCAAACTCTCCCCCTCTCCAGGGATTCAACCAAGGGTGCCTACCACATCCTCAGCCCCTTTAAAAACTTTTTACTTTGAGACAGGGTCTTGCTCAGTTGCTTAGGGCCTTGCTAAGTTGTTGAAGCTGGCTTTGAACTTGATCCTCCTACCGTAGCCTCCTGAGTTGCTGGGATTATAGGTGTGCACCACCACACCCAGCTGGGAGCAGGCATTTCTGCTATGACCCATGTATACATCCCTGAAAAGCTACTTATTCTGTTAAAAAAAAAAATACAGCTCATGGGTAAGTGGGGTTAGAAGTTTTATTAGTCAAGATCCATGCAGTTTTATGACCCAGTTACCGACAAAAATAATTGTAACAACAACAACAAAAAGAATTAGCTGGGCTGGGGTTGTGGCCCAGTGGTAGAGCGCTTGCCTACCACGTACAAGGCACTGGGTTTGATCCTAAGTACCACATAAAAATAAAGTAAATGAAACAAAGGTATTGTGTCCAATTACAACTAAGAAACATTTTTTTTTTTCTAAGTAGTAGCCCAGTTAACCAGCTACCTAGGAGGCTGAGGCAGGCAGGAAGATCACAAGTTTGAGGCCAAGATCCTGTCTCAAAATTAAAACACACACACACAACTATAAGGGGCTGGGATGTAGTTCAGTGGAGGAACACCCTGGGTCCAAAACCCAGGTACCAGAAATACACAGACAGCCAAAGTTAAATTCTAAATTTAGAAAGAAATTGTAAAGTTGACGCCATGGTCAGCCCTTAACCAGTGGGCACTGCGGGTGGGGGGGTATGGGCGGTGCCAGCACCTGGAGATGGTCAGGAGCCCTGCGGTGAGTGGCACAGGCAAGGGCACGTGGCCGTGGTTCCCTGTCGGCACAGGCTGTGGTGTGCCAGGAAGCCTGTCTGCAGTTGCTCCTCAGGCAGACCGGACACTGAACATATTGTTTGTATTGCAAAATGATCCTGCAAGCATTTAAAACACATAGTGAATGTCCTGGTGTCCTGGCGCTTGGGCTCTGCAGCCCACCGTGGCCCTCTCTGAGCTCAGGCCCTTTCCCTCTAGCAGAACTGCTGTGCTGACATCCTGCCACTCCTGTCTAATTCTGCCTGCTGTGGTCTTCATACAAGGGTGTCTGTGATCGCCTCTTCCGGGCGCAGACCATGGTGTGTGTGAAGCTGCACCGCTGTCCTTCCCCAGTGGCCCCTGGTACCCATGCGATGCCTGTGCCCCTTCTCTCCCAGTAGCCTCTCGTTCCTGTGTGACATGTGCCCACTTCCCCTTCCCTCCCTGGTGGCCCCTTGCCCCACGCGGTGCCCTGTGTGCTTTGGCGGTCCTGCTTTCTAGCTGGGCTTTCCCTGCATGCCCCCTGGAGCTCCTCTAGGGGTGCACTGTAGGTCTGGTGTTGGTGCTCTTCCCTTGGTCAGGTCATGCAGCTCTGTTGTGAGGTGGCTCCCAGCTTGTCTCCCCTAGCTGCCCGTACCTGCCCCTCACCTGTGGGGCCTGCTTGCCACTCCCAGCTCACGGCTGTGTGGTGGTGTGTTGGGGGTCTGAATGTGTGCCCCCTGGTGTGCTAATAGGATTGTGCACCTGTCAACGTGTTTATGCCTGTTGTGTTTCATCTCTGTGAAATACTGGCTTGTGTCTTTTGTCTTTTTTTTTTTGGTCTGTTTTTTGCAGACTTATGGCAGTTCTTCATATAGTCTGGATTTTTTTCTGATGTGTTTTTTTCTTCTTGGACGTTTTGTGAGTGTGATTTGATTGATGGATTCGGTTCCATTCCTTTCCCTCTATCCTTGCTTGGGCGCCTTCCCCTGCTTGCCACAGTCATTCTCCAAGCTCAACTCACAATCAGTCATGGCCAGCTCCTCCCTGCGTGGAGGGCGTGAGGAGGGCTGGCGCTGCCCTGTTAGGTGAGTCCCTGGGGTTTTGAGCCCTTCACTCCCGTGTCCAGTCAGGGCTTGGAGATGCACTGGAAGTGGGCTTTCACGCTGCCAAGAGGGGTTTCAGAACAGCCTGTCGTTGCTGGCTCAGCCCTGGGTTCCTTTTGCAGACTTGGCTCTAGGTGCTGGGTTTACATGCAGGTTCTGGAGCTGGCACTGCGGTTGCTCACACAGGCCTTTCCCTGGGTGAGGAGTTCATGTCCTCTGGGGCAGTGTCTGTGCAGGTGTCTTTCTGGGTTAAAGAAGGCTCCTTCTGTTCTTGGTTTGTGATGGATTTTTTTTTTTTTTAAAACCGTGAGTAGGTATTAAATTTATTTGCTTGTGCATTTGGCACTGCATTTCTTCATTCAGTCTGGGCATGTGTGAGCTGCAATAATTGGTCCTAACATTGTGTAGAAACCAACCTGAGTCTTTGTGATGAGCTGAGCTGGAGCATGATTTTCATGGACCCCACTGGATTCTATTTTCTAGTATTCTTTTTTTTTTTTTAAAACAAAAAACCCCTTTATTTATTTATTTTTTTAGGTGTTGATAGACCTTTATTTAGTTATTTATATGTGGTGCTGAGAATCAAACTAGTGCCTCATATATGCCAGACAAGTGCACTGTCGCTGAGCCAGAATCCCAGTCCCTTCTAGTATTCTTTTTTTATGCTTTTGCACCTGTAGCTTTTATTCTGCTTGACCTATAGTTCCCTTTTCTTTTATGGTACAGATTCATAAAATGAGTGACAAGTATTCTCCACCCCTCTCTTTTTTCTGGAAGGATTTGGGCAAAATTAGAATGGCTTGAAATAAGTATTTTCTTAAAATCCTTCTGAAAGTTAATTTCTCGGGAAGACTTTAAAGTACTCATTTCCTGACTGCATTTTAGTAGGGTTATTTTTATTTTCTGTCTTTTAACGTGGCTGTGTTGAGATGCTCACCTGCACTGCTTTTTTTGGTCAATGAACTCGAAGACTGTTACCCCCACCTGCGGGCAGGATGGGATCAGCAAGTGGACATTAGCTCTTTGTGTGGCTACTGGTAGGACTGACCTTGCCTAGGAGCTCCCTGGCCTATAGCTAGCTGTCCACCGTCTACCATCCACTGTTACACACCAGTGGCTGGGCCTATAGCCCTGTCTTGAGCCACCTGGGACACAGTTCCCTGTGCTGATAGCATTTTGATACATTGCTCGTCTTCTGTCTTTGGTCATTGTTTGACACCTTGAAACCTGAAATTCCCTGTTTGATTTTCCCAGACGCCTATGTCTTTGTCTTGGTCTCTTCGGTGGTTTTCTAGAAGTTTTATTTTTTGTTTCTTCTCCACGGCACTCTGTAACCTTGTAATGAGGAACGCTGGCCTGTTTTCAGTGTCTGATGTTATTGTGGGCCTCCTCTGACCTCCCTGCCCAGGCTCGGTGACCCCACGGCTGCTCACCCTCAGGGTGGAAATGTGCTGCCGGTTTTGAGCTGTCATGGTGCATGACTTCTCTCCTGGTGGCCACTTGCTTTTGGCTCCTCCCCTCTGTTCCTGAGCTGGAACCTGCTGGCCCGACACTGTCCTGTACCTGCCCTGTGGGTGGATGGCCACCTGGGCTGTCCACAGCGAAAGCATGTGCATGGCTTCTGGCCTGGCATCTCTGCCCCGTGCAAGGCAGTGCTCTGTGGCACTTTCCTCTCCTGTGTGGCCGGTGCCGGTGTGCACCTCAGTGGGTTAGTCCCGGGAAGTCCCTGTCACTGGCAGTTGGCACAAGGCAGAGACCCGTGGATTGAGGGCTCCAGCTGGTGTGTTTATCTTCATCTTTTCTAAGTGACACAGAAAAGTGGCTGAGTTCTCTGGCCAGTGCTTGGGGCAGCCCCAGGGAGTCCGAGAAAGCTGGTGCCAACCCACCTCCTCCTGGCCCCTTCTGCTGAGCTGCTGAGGTTTTGAGGTTTGTTGTCTGCTTTTTAACAGGTATAAGAAGAATTTTTGCCTGCTTGGCAACTAATTTTTTATTGTGAATGACCAGATGCAGGGATTTTGAGTTGTATTTGTGAGGTGAATTTGACAAATCTGTCCCTTCCTTCCCCTGGTGGCAGTGCAGATTGGGGTTATTTATATATTCTTTTTTTGTAATTGGTGGATAATGGAAGGAAGGAATCCGTGTCACTAATTTTCCTCTCTAATCACCCTCATTCACCTTTAGCGTTTTTTTTCACATGCAGCCTAGGAAGTGAGGATGGGACTTTCTTGTAGACGCTGTTCTGACTAAATCGTCTCACTGAGGTTTGGCAACTTCTCTCTGCAGCTGAAAGGCCAAGTCCTGTCCTTAACCCAGGAGGTGGAGGAGTGCCGGGCTGAGCTTGAGAGGTTACGGCAGAGGCGTGAGAGGGAGAACCAAGAGGGTGCCACCCTTGTCTCCATGCTCAGGGCGGATGTGGACCTGTCTCAGAGCGAAAGGTCAGCATGTCCCCTCACCCCACCTCCTGTTCAGTTGCCTGGCCATTGTGGCTGCCTCCCTAGACCCACTGTGCTTCTGTGGGGCTGCTGTGCAGGTGGAGGTCTGGTGGGCGTAAACCCTGGCCACACCCTTCTTCACACACTAAGAGTACTTGGGAGCATGCAGATGCCTGCATACCTGCCACCTTGCTTTGTCATATCTTCATGTTTTATATTACAAAAAACCATGAAGCCTGGCACAGTGGTGCACGTCTGTAATCCCAGTGGCTCGGGAAGCTGAGGCAGGAGGATCACAAGTTCAAAGCCAGTCTCAGCAACTTAGCAAGGCCCTAAGCAACTTAGTAAGACCCTGTCTCTAAATAAAAAACAAATGGGCCTGGAGATGTGGCTGAGTGGGTAAGCACCCCTGGGTTCAATCTCTGGTACCAAAAAACAAAAGAAAAACCCACGAAGACTCATGATCTCACTTCCTCCCACCCAGAATCAGTTCCCTGCCCTGACAGCAGGCAAGTCTTCCACATGTCCTCTCCGAGTACATAGGCTGTGTGCCAGCTGTCCTCTGTGTGCCAAGGCACATGCCCACTGGACGCTGGCTGGCCTGTAGGCTGGCTAGTAGCCTCCTCAAGCTGGATGCAACTCTGCTTGACTGTGCTCTGCCCTCAGGGGAGCGCTCCGTGATGCCCTGAGGAGGCTGCTGGGTGTGTTTGGAGAGACACTGAAGGCCGCTGTTGCCCTGAAGAGCCGGATTGATGAGCGCCTGGGGCTCTTCCTGGACCAGGCAGAGGCAGGCCAAGCCCCATCAGCAGGTGCCAGCACTGGGTGGCTCACCTAGGGGTCTGGGGCCTTGGGGGAGGAGCTGCTGTGCCAGGATGCTCTTTTTCCTTGCCAGTGCCCCCTCTTAGGGAGGCGAGGTGGGACAGGCCAGGGCAGAGCTGCCTGCTTCCTGTGGCGGTCGCTGTTTCACTTAGGAGCTGGGTCCACGTTCTCTGTGTGCACGCGCTGGGGCTGTGGCTGGCTGGTTTGCTCACTGGGTGGTGTGTATAGGTGTTTGAGTTTGCTCATCTTGTAGCTCCGCCCCTGGAGGAGATGTGGTCAGATGCAGCCCTGCTAGAGTTGGACAGAGCTTTGCCTGAGGGTGCAGAGATGTCTTCGGTGGCTGAGATCAGCAGTCATGTGTGTGAGAGCTTTTTCATGAGCCCTGAAAGTACGCTGGAATGTGAGCAGCCAATCAGAAGAGTCTACCAGAGCCTTGGCATGGCCGTGGACGGCCTCTTGGAGATGGCGCTGGACTCCTCCAGACAGGTGAGGCCTGAGACACACCTGAGGCTGGCAGGTAAGAGAGTGGCTGAATAGGGCATGCGGTGATATAGCTCGGGGACATCACGTGCTCTTCCAGCACTGTTGACCCGGGATTTCTAATGGCCCGACGCTGCTACCTGTGAAGGTGGGTCCGATGTCCGGGACGCTTTCCTTGTCCCCTTTCCACTGGGCGTTGGGTCAGACACTCCCCGAGCCTGGGTTTGCGGGCCTGGCCTTCGTGTGGGTTACCTTTGCTGATCCCAGCAGCGTGCAGTCGTGTGCTTGTGTCTGGAGGAGGCAGGCCTGCTGTGAGGACATGTGGAACCTCAGGTGGTTAGTTGAGATCAGAAACCTGCTGTTTTGACTTGATGTGCTGTTGTTGTGATCCCACACTGAATGTGCACTGAGATACCAGGAGGAAGAGGCTTTGTCCCCCCCCCTGAAACTTGAAGAGGCTTCATGCAGGTTAGGTTCTCTGGGCAAGTTGGGCATGTCCATGTGTGGCATGGCTGCGGGGGCCTTTTCTTCACCTTGTCCTCCCAGGCACCTTCTGTCCTCCAGGAGCTGGGCACATGTGGCTAGTCTCTGACAAGTAGATCCTTCTGCTGTCCCACGAGTGACCGGGTAAAAAGAGAGCCCGCTTGCTCCAGGGTGAGCCGTGGTCTTCATTAGGAGCCCGCCCAGCAGAGAATATGCTTCTTCAGGGTGGGAACGTGGGGGGTTGCTGAGAGAGAGTTGGGGGCCCCTTTCTCGAGGTCCTCAGTGGAACTTCACGGTAGCCATGTGTCGCCCGTGCAGGAATGGGGGACAGGAGGCTGGGAGCAGGGTTAGGGCCAGATGGGGCCTCCTGCTGGGCACCATGTGCTTGTGGGTGAGTGGGGCTTGGCTGTAGGAAGTGGGTGGAAGTGACTACAGCAGAGCGGGTGCTGGAGGTAAAGATGTCGCGACCCCTGGGCCATTTTCAAGGAAGAACCAAAAGATCTGCTTAGAGGCCAGTGGATATCCGTAGGCCCAGAAGCAGCTAGAGCTGTGTTAACTGATAGGGAGACTGAGGGCTGTCTGTAGGTGGCAGCTGGCCTTAGGCATCCTGAGTTCAGAGATCCACTGGGCCCCTCAGCCTACAGATGGCCCAGAAGCCCTAGACTGGACACACGTGCTGGGGAGACATCAGCCATGTGGGATACCACCCTGGTGACATGGCCCTGGGTGACAGGAGGCGCAGGGATGCACCTGGTGCCTTGTCCTGCCCTGGCCCTGCTGCTGTTGGTGGCCGGAGGCCTGGGATGGAAGCAGATTCCTGCTGGTGTGGACATGAGCTTTGGTGGTTTCTGATATGCAGCTCTGAACCTCAAATATGTTTCAGCAGCTGGAGGAAGCTCGTCAGATTCATTCTCGCTTTGAGAAGGAATTCAACCATAAGAATGAGGAGACGGCGCAGGTCCTGCAGAAGCACCAGGAGCTACTGGAGTGCCTGAGGGAGCAGCGGGCGGCCAGGGCCGAGCTGGCACTGGAGTTGCACAGGGCTGAGGGTGAGTGTGGCTGCTGGGCCCCTGGCCTGGGTGTGGCCCTGTCGCAGAGGTAGGGACAGCTTTGCTGTTGAAGTCGCTAGGGAGATGGTATTTTTTTTTTTTAGAACTGGGGACTGAACTCAGAGCCTATATCCCCAACCTCTGAGCCCTATACCTCTGAGCCATATCCCCAACCCTCAGCCTTTCCAGTAGCCGGGTGTACAGGTGTGTGTCACTGCGTTTGGCTAGGAGTAGCATTTTAAAGAGCAACGTATATAACTCAAGTAAATCCGCTTTGGAGCACCAGTGGGTGTTTCTTGAGGAGACAGGGGCGTGTGGGCCCAACGCAATGGTTTGGGCACCCCTGATGCTGGCAGGGCTCTTTGAAGACTGAGGGCCTTGGAGCTGTGGCTCGGCACTTGGTGCTGAGCTCTCCTACTCTGCGCTGCACCTAGGTGTGGCACGCCTTCGCTCCTGGCAGTGCCGTGCTCTGCCGCGGCCCTCCTCTCCCAGCTGCCCCTCTGCTGGGTGGGGTGCTGGCGGGCATGCTTCTCAGGTCTAGCTGTACGTGGAGGCCTCTCCTCCTTCCGGGGTGGGCCTCTGCCTGCTTCCCAGCTCACATGCCGTGTCCTGGGTGGGCGCCTTGGTGCATGTGCCCTGCCCCGAGCACACTTGCCTCAGTTGGTCTCCCCTCAGGCCTCCTGGAAGGGTTCAAAGTGGAGAAAGCAGATCTGCAGGAGGCTCTGGGCCGCAAGGAGGAGTCGGAGCAGCAGCTGGTCCTGGAGCTGGGGAGCCTGGGGCGGCAGCTGGAGCAGGCCGCCCAGGAGAAGGCAGCCCTGCAGGAGGAGCGCTCCATCTTGCGGAGCCAGAGGGAAGCTTGGGCTGCTGAGGCGGAAACAAGAGAAGCAGGTAGGGATATGGGTTGGGAAGCTGAGCCCAGATTCCAGGAAGTGTGGCCCTTCTGGAGATGAGACCTGGAGCGTGGGGCTCTTCTGAGGAGTCCAGGAGTCCAGCGTAGCAGGCACTGGCAGTGGAGGGGTGGCAGGGTGGTGGGAGCACCCTCTCAGGCTGAAGGTCCCCAGGCAGTGAGCTCCCGGCTGGTGCTGTGCCCCTGGGAGGTGAGGATGTCCCTGGGCAGCAGGTTGAAGCTCCTGAAATGTGAGCTACTCACAGTCACACCAACCCTGACTTGGGAAGTGTTGTTTTGACAGGAGTGACTTTCAGACATTTTAGCCTTAAAGAATTAAAATAGTCAGAACATGAGAAGCTCGAGAGGTGTGTTTGTGGAACATTGCAGCTTCTTCAGAGCCAGCTCCTTGCTGACGCCAAGGCTTTCCCAGGATATGAGGGGCTCGCCCTGTGGGCCCCCTTGACCTGTTCTCTCACTGTCCCACGTGGGACACAAGGGTCTGTCTGTCTCACAAATGTCCACATCTGTCCATGGGGCCACCTTGGCGGGGCCCCTCTGCTGTTCTATTGCCTGTTGGAGTGACCGTGCTGGGGGGGTGTCCTTGAAACCTGTACCTGGTGTGAGACCCTTGTTTGTTACATGCACTATCCAACCCATTTTCTATGAATTTTCATGTAATTTTTTTTTTCTTTTTTAAAGAACCACTAGCTTATTGGGTGCATTGGCGCATACCTATAATCCCAGAGATTTGGGAGGCCAAGGCAGGAGGGTTGCAAGTTTGAGGCCAGCACAGACCAACTTTTGGCTTTGTCATTCCATTTTGTTCTCTGTCCTGTTTCCCTGGGCTTGCCCTTAGCTTTGCTGTTTCTCCTCCTTGAGTTCCGGAGGACCTGGGGATTCTCCTTGCCTCTCCCATGGTGTCTGCCCACATCTGTTATCCTTTGGCTTTTGAGTTCCCTCCAGGCCCTCAGCCCAGTGTGTTGTGTGGGAGTCCCTCTGTCCATGCAGTGTGAGGCTCACGGTCCTCACTGGTCACGGCGCAACATCTCCTGCTTATTGGCTCTTGTTCTACCTCTGATACTTTGCCCATTTCCACTTCTTACTATGAACTTCTGGAGTTAAACTGACTTCCCCCCTTTGAATATGTCACTTCAGCTCTATTTCAGCTTTGTTCTTTTGTCTTAAATGCCTCTCTCACTGATCTGTGCTCCTCACTCAGCCCCGACCCCCAGGGCTGCAGGAGGGCAGTGTGGTGTCCTGGATGATCTGCTGGCCTGCCTCTTTCTCCTGCCCTTCAGGCAGGTTTTCTGCCCCACCTCTGTGATGCTCTGCATCTCCCTTTGCAGGCACTGCGGTCACTGCAGCGCCCGAGAACCCAGGTTTGTAAAAACAAGCATGATCGCTGTGTGCTGTACCTATGTTTGCATCAAATTTTGTGAATTATTTACTACAGAGGAAGAGTATCTCAGCGCTTTTGTGGCAGACTATTAAATCAAATGACACGTGGTCTTCAGCACTTATTCACCACAGCTGTCAGTTGTTCTCTTGAAAGTTCCTGCCAAGGGCTGGGGATGTGGCTCAACTGGTAGCGCGCTCGTCTGACATGCGTGCGGCCCGGGTTCGATCCTCAGCACCACATACCAACAAAGATGTTGTGTCTGCCGATAACTAAAAAAATAAATAAATATTAAAAAAAAAAAAAAAAGAAAGTTCCTGCCAAGTGCAGGCACTCCTCGTAGCTGCTGCAGCCACTAAGCTACGCTGTGCTGATGTGTGTGCTGGGCTCTGGGGCAGGTACGGTTTTGGTGAGTGGGTCCTGCTCCCAGCCTCCTGGGAGGTCCCCAGCAGAGGGGCTGGGCCTGTGTCCCTTCCTCCAGCACTGGCCCTGAAGGTGCTCGTGTTGGGGCTGGTCGGGCCCAGGCCTTGTGGACGACATGGTCACAATAGCATGTCTAAGGTTCATGTACTGTAATTGCTTACTTACCAGCATGAGACTTTGAGAATGTTACCTTGGTGGTGATGATAGTGTGCTGTTAAAGACTGACAGCTTTCAAAACTGGTGGAATGTCAATAAGAGTGCTTGTTATGCTTGCTCTTTCAGTTTTGGGGAGGAAGTCGGGATCCACCACCAGCAAGTCCCCTTTTGTTTTTCTTCAGGTATTGGAGATTGAGCTGCCCCCGACCCCCACCTCAGGGGCTGGGTGCTCTCTGCCACTGAGCTACATCCCCAGTCCTTTTTATGAAATTTTTAGCTGTATCTCACTAAGTTGCTGAGGCTGGCCTGGAATTTTCCATCCTCCTGCCTTAGCCTTCTGAGTGATTGGGATTATAGGTATGCCCACTGTGCCTTGAAGCAAGGCCCCTTTTCAAGGTGTTTGTTTTTGTTTTATTTTTTAAGAGTTCAGCCATTTATTTGTTTGTTTGTTTATTTATTTTTAATGTACTGCAGAGGATTAAACCCAGTGCCTCACCCATGCTAGGCAAGTGCTCTACCACTGAGCCACAGTCCCAGGCCCTCAAGATATTTATCAGTCTGTGGTTTCAATCTGTGGGTGAAGGCTTTGTACCCAGTGTTCTAGTCTGTTTTACGTTGCTTTCACTGAGCACTCGGGGCTGTGTGATTTGTAAATAATAGAAACTGGTCTCTCACAGATCTGAAGGCTGGGGAATCCGAGGAAAAGGTGTTGGCAGGCCTGGGAAGCCTTTGCCTTCTCCTGTGACAGTGCCTTGCAGGTCAAGGCAGAAAGTGGAAGGCTAAGAGAAGGTCCCCTGAAAGCCCTTCTGTGGAGGCCCTGAGTCCGCCTGTGGGGTTGGAACCCTTGAGGCCCGCCCCTCTTAGAGGCCTCCCCCAAACTGTCGTGTTGGCAGTTACATTTCACCCTGAGTTTTGAAGAGGGCAGACGTTCAAGCCGTGGCTTTTGTTTTATCAGTTGCTTGATGGCTTTCCTCGAAGACGGAGTCACAGCCCTGGCACTGCTGTGGGCAGGTCTCTGGCACCTGTGGTGGCCCATCCAGGTGGTTTCCAGCGGTGCTGCCTCAGGGCAGGCACCAAGTTGCACCTGTGGGCCAGGCTCCAACTCGTGCTCTGTTTCCCACCTTGGAGAATTGGAAGTGCAGACAGGATTCCCAGGAAGTTGGCCCCTACCTCCCTGAGGTCCCAGGGTGTGTTCTCAGGCTTTTGAAGCTTTTTATTTTAACCAGTTTTCATTGAAGACATGTAAGTTTTACTTACAGAGGTGGTTTATCTCGATTTAGAGGGTGTCTTGCCAAGTCATGGGTATGTTAGGGTGAGAGCTCAGAGGGCGAGGGGCTGTGCTGTCCTTGGGGTGACGTTCATTCTCACCGTGGCTGCTGCCTTGGCAGCGTCACATCCCTATGGGAGAGAACGATTTCAGGAAGGGGAGGAGGCCCACCCAACTCCACGGGCTCATGTTGTGGCCCTACCCCTGGCCACTGCTCCTTCCTGGGCAGCCGTGAGCAGCCATGTCCAGGCCTGCCACATGTTGTCACCAGCAGGAGGCGCCTGCTGCCTGGGCCTTGCTCTGCACAGTCTGTGCCGTCAGGGGGCTCCTCCGTGTCTCTTTTTTGGCTTCTTTAGCACTGAAGAAGGAAGTGGAATCTCTAACCAGGGAGCAGGTGGAGGCCAGGGAGCAGGCAGAGAAGGACCGCGCAGCCTTGCTCTCCCAGGTGCGGCTGTTAGAGTTGGAGCTGGAGGAGCAGCTCTCGCAGCACCGTGGCTGTGCCCGGCAGGCCGAGGAGGAGGCTGTGGCCCTGAAGCAGCAACTGGCTGCCCTGGACAAGCAGCTGCGCAACCAGCGGCAGTTCATGGACGTAAGCAGCCTGGGCAGTAAGCCATATTCCCTTACTAGGTCCTCACAGCAGTGGCTTCTGCCACAGGACCCTGCAAGCTGGCATCCAGTGCCCCCTGTGCAGGCAGATGGCTGTGTGGCCGACTCTGTGGGCTCTTGGGTCCTGACAGTGTTTCGTGATGATGATTCTGAGAGGTGTCTGTATACCTGGCCTTCCCCTGCAGGGAGCCCAGGGCCATCTCTCCTGACTGGCTTCCATCTGCCCCTTACAGTGGTGTCAAGTGTTTCAAAGGCCACCTTCACATTTCAGCTAGAGGGGTGCCCCTCTTCACCTTACTCCTTTTACAAAAGGACCAGGATGAGAGGGGCTGTGCCCAGGAGCAGCCCATATTACTGGGTGGGTGGACGTGTGCGGCGGGGCAGCCATCCTCGCCCAACTGCCACAGGTCTCCTGGGGTGGTCCTTGCAGGAGCAGGCTGCTGAGCGTGAGCATGAGCGTGAAGAGTTCCAGCAGGAAATCCAGAGGCTGGAGGGGCAGCTCCGCCAGGTGGCCAGGCTGCGGCCCCTGGGCCCCTGTGACAGTCAGGTGGGTAAGCGGCCGTTGGCCCTGCCTTCTGGGGAGCCCATCTCGAGAGTGTTTCTAAGCTTTGTCTCTCTTTACATTTTTGCCCTCCGTGGACTCAGGGACGTCAGTGTGCACAGCTGGATGAGGAGGTAGGATGGCAGCGCCGCCTGTGCCCCTTCTACACAGCTGATGCCCCCTGCTGGCTGCGGCTCCCTCACCTGTGTGGCCAGCAGGGGCCACATGCACCACCCTGTGTCTTGGTGCTTTCTTGGCTTTTGCTCAGGTCTGTGACTATCTGCAGCCTCTTGTCTGAGCTGGCTCTAGGTGATTTCCTTATTCTTTTTTAAAATTAAACTTATTTTGAGGAGATGGTGGGTTCTGTGTGGTGGTAAGAAGTAAGGCTCAGAGAGAACCCTGTTCCATGGTTGCATCCTGCAGAACCCGACAGGGCTGCGGTGGAACAGAGCCATGTGCCCTGCAGTACCCTGTGCCCCTGGCAGCGCGGACCCGCCCTGTCTCTGGAGCATTCTGTAGTGGAGTCTTGGATGCTGCCACTGGGGACTGGCTTTCCCCCCTGGTTCTCTGGAGAGCCACCCAGGTGGTTGCATCCTCAAGGGGTCTTTTTGTTGCCGAATAGTAATCTATTCCTTTCTGTCAAAGAAAGTTTTAATCTACTAACTTGTCTTGTCTTACATTATTGCTTTTATGGATCTTCTTGTTAGGAGAGAGTGCCCTTCCTGAAACTTCAACCTGGGTCTCATTCTTGAGTGGGTTTCATTGTGCAGCTGAGGTCTGGAGAGACTTCTGTCACTTGCGTTGTGTGCTTTCTTTGTTGGGAAGAGAGGTTGCTGTTCAACAGTCTGTTTCATTTCTCGTGCTTTTTTGTGTTTTAGATTGAACTATTGCAAGAAAAGTTGAGAGAAAAATCGGATGGATTTAATGAGTTGGTTATAAAGAAAGAGTTGGCAGATAGGCAAGTGTTAATCCAGGAAGAAGAAATTAAACATCTGGAGGAGACAAACGCCAACACCAAAAGACAGGTGGCCCAGCTCCAGGAAGAACTGGAAAAACAGAAAAAGATGGTGAAAAAACTACAAGTAAAGCAACTGCATCCTAGGACTGCAATGGATGGCCGGGGTGCACAAGGGGCAGCACCTCACTCCCACTCTGCCCAATGCTCCACCTGCCAGGAGCCAGTGCACCATGAGTCCTCAGTGGCCTGCTTAGTGGTTCGCGTCTTGCTCACTTCCTGCCGACTTAGTTGCTCGCTTAGTTGCTTAGTCACTCACTTAGTTGCTGATTTAGTTGCTCGCTTAGTTGCTCATATCTTGCTGACTTAGTTGATCACTTCTTACTGGTCTAGTTGCTGACTTCTTGCTCATTTAGTTGCTTAGTTGCTCACCTCTTGCTTGCTTAGTTGCTCACTTAATTGCTTAGTCATTGCTGACTTAGTTGCTCACCTCTTGCTTGCTTAGTTGCTCACTTAATTGCTTAGTCATTGCTGACTTAGTTGCTCACCTCTTGCCCACTTTATTGCGGCCTGAGCTTCTAACTGCCCAGGAAGTGGCACTGTTTCCTTTGACCATTTGGTTGGTGGAAATTGAACTTCTGACTTTTAGTTCATATCACTGGAAGTTAAAACGTCCCTTAAAAAATGAGGCCCGAAGAACAGCCTAACTTGAGAGTCAGACTGAATTTTGTTCAAGGGTGACTCAGTTTTCATCAGCCTTGCCTGGTTCTTGTGAGTGCTGGTGGGAGGGACTGAACCCCCAAGGACAGGGTGCCCTGGTTTCACCACCCTGGGAAGGACACCTCAGCACCTGTGCTTCCTGGTGGTCCTGCTTAGCCTTGCCCCACAGGAGATCCTTCCCTGATCCAGCACTTCCTGCATGTGCCTTTGTTCATTCACTCAGCAGACATTCACTGAGCTCCTTAGTGCTGCGAGTGAAGAAAGTGGCTTTCCCCCCCAGGTCCGACCACCTGTACAAGTTGGTGTGCTAGCTTCTTGCCCCCCTGTGTGTGATGTTTCCCCCACTTAAAATGTGTTGAGGGTGCTGTGAGCCATATCCTTCCTCTTGCCAGTTTTTTTCTAGTGTTTTGGAATTGGAGATAGCCTAGTGACTGTTTTTGTGCCTTGTCAAGTGATCACCAAGGTCTCTCCCAGTGGGATCATGGTGCTCCTGTGGCTCTCTCCAGTGTTGGGGGGGTCTCAGCAGGAGCTCAGATGGGTTCTGTTTAGTGTCTGTGGTCTGGAGCCCCTGGGCACAGGTGAGTGCAGGGCCCCCATTGCTTTAGGATACCTCAGGATGGTCTATGTTATGGAGGCAGCAGAGTGAGGTCCTTGATTCTGTAAGTGTCTGCCTAAAATAAATTTTCACCTCTTTCTTAAATAGGAAGAAGAGGCAGTAAAGGAACAGCAGAGGAGTGACGTGATACTGGTGCCGCTGCCGCAGTCTAGGACCCCCGAGGGCAGGTGTCCCATGCCTCCAAGGGGCAGCCCCCGGGAAGGCGCGGAGGTCCTGTCAGAGGCGCTGCAGAGGGCCCTGCTTCAGCACGAGAGCCAGGCAAGTGTGGTGCAGGCAGCAGCAGTGCCCATATTTGGCATTGTCAAAAGATATGTGCCCAATGTGTGCTATCTCCTTTGTAATTCTGTCACTTTTAGGTGATACTTTTTATATTTCTAAAATTTTCAGAGCTATTTTGATTAATTATTAAGTCAGCTAGAAAATTAGATGATTTTTAATACTTTTTGGTTTTAATGCAAGGTTTTGGACTTAAAAGAACAACTAGAAAAGATGAAAGATGACCTAGTAAGTAAAAATGAAGAAATACTACATCTGAAGTTAAAACTAGATGTGCAAAGCGACCCTGCGGCCACCAGCACCCAGGGGCTTGACGAGGAGAGTGCCGGTATAAAGGTAGGCCACAGGGACCTGCTGGAGGCCTAAGCTGGTGCTGCCCGAGCATGACACCGCCCCACTCCAGCCTTCCCTCCAACAGAGACGGGCGCCTGAGCGGGCAGACCGCTCTGGCTCCACGTGGCCCGGCACGCGTGGCCACAGCTGTCTCTGAGCCAGAGCAGAGGGCCAGCAGCCCTCCAGCCCTGTGTCCTGTTTCTGGCACTGGCAGTCAGGCCTCCAGAGGGTCTTGTTGGGGTAGAGTTGCAGCAGAGCTTCGTCCCTGTGGTGGCTGGGGAGGAAACCCACCCTCAGGCCTTAGCACAGACCCTTCCCACTTCTTCATGGGAAGAGCTTGTTTGTGCATTGGCCCAGTGGAGAGGGACGCAGCCTCCATAATGGGATTGGTGTGGGAGGGAACCTTTAGCAATCTCAGGGGTGACTTTGACGTATCTTGTTTGGGGTTGTCCCGTGGTACCAGCAGCACTGTTTCACCACGAGCTGCTAGTGTGGGAGAAATGCGGGCCTGCCTGGCCCTCTCAGTCGCTGCCTGCGAGTTGAAGGTGTTTGCTGAGCCGTCCTCCCAGGGAGCCTCTCCCCTGGCAGAGCAGGGAAAAGGCCTCCCCTGTTCTTTGAGACCCTTTGAAGTGTGTGGCCTGGGAAGCGCAGGGATGGAATCCGGAAAGCCAAACACCCGCCATTTCAACAGACAGAACAGTTTCTAGTGGGGTTTCCGACTGTCAAGTTTAGACTAGCGGCCTGCTTGGTTAGGAGGGTCTGTGGTGCCTGTGAGGTCAGGGTTCACGAGCAGGTCTCTCTGTGGGCTTTGTTACGGAGGTGATGCGCCCAGCAAGGCGGTTCCTGTGCTGGGCTTGCAGCCCTGGCTCCTGCATTTGTGATACTTTGTTTTGCTAACTTTGGAGAATGGTATAATGATGGCTAGGGCATTAAGGTAAAGAGTTTTGTGGGCAGTTTTTCATTAAAACTGTATTTGTTGGCAGAATTTAAAAATATCCTCTTGCATTACCTTGAGGAATGTCTTTAAAGCATTAATTAATTAATTAATTCTTTTTTGTATTGGGGATTGCACCCAGGGGCACACTACCACCGAGTTACCTCCCCAGCCCTTTCAATTTTTTATTTTAAGAAAGAGTTTTGTTGAATTGCTAGGGCTCACCCCAAACTCGTGATCCCCCTGCAGTGACCACAAGTGACCACTGTCACTTCAAATATTTCCCCTATGATAACCCTTTGTGGTCACCACACACTGTTCCCAGCCCTTGACAATGTTGCCACCACTTACTTGTCCTTGATCCAAGATGTGGCTGCAGTTTTTTTTTTTTTTTTTGTTGTTGTTGTTTTGTTTTGTTTTTTTTGTGGTGCTGGGGATCGAACCCAGGGCCTTGTGCATGCAAGGCCAGCACTCTGCCAACTGAGCCATATACCCAGCCTCTTATACTGCAGTTTTGATTTTTCCAAAATTTGGAGTCTGCTCCCTTGGCATGATATGTTTGAGTCTTAAGCCTGTTGCTCTATGCACCATTGGAACCTCCCGAGTGTCCTGGGGAACCGGGATTCCCCTGCTGCTGAGCCCCGCCCCGCCCTGGGGATCAGGGAGCCCCTGCTGCTGAGCAGCGCTCTGGGGATGTACTGCCATGGTTTTCACTTGCTCTTGTTGGGTTGTTTTTTGTTTTTCAACTTGGATTGTTTTTTGGTTTTATCAAACACGATCAAGCTGCTGTGAAGATTCATATGGAGGTTTTTATGAGAAAATAAGTTTTTATTTCTTTTGGTTAAACGTCTATAGTTTTGTAGCCAATCCATCTGTTAGGAAAATGTTTTACCTGAAGAGAACTTGGGAGCTGCTTCCTCCCTCCCATAGCTGTCCTCCCAACTGCCGTGTCCTCTTTTGCTCATGGTGGTCAGTCTTGTCCATCCTAAGAAATGTGACAGTTGTATCCTTGTTTAATTGGAATTCCCGTAAGGAGTTGGTCCTGAGTATCTTTTTATGGGTATATTTGCCACTCATATCACGGGGAATTATTTGTTCTAATTTTTGGTTAAGTTTTTAAAAGTTTATTCCTGTTGGGCTTTGGGAATTCTGAGCACAATTTTTTTTGATACGTTCTTTGCCAATATTTTTTCCATTCTTGTATCTTCCTTCTCTTAACATGTACTTCATAAGCAAAACTTGGTTCTGATGAAGCCCACTGTATTGAATATTTCATGCTTTTGGAGTTGTATCTGAGGGTTTTTGCCTAACCCCGGGGCATGAAGTGTTCTGTTTTCTTTTGGGAGTTCCGCAGTGTTTCTTTGTGTCCAGGTTTTGATATGCTTCTTTACTTTTGGGCAACGTCTGCCTCATTGTGCTGCTGTGTGCTGAGAGTCTGCTCGCGGAGCTGTTCTCGCCCCTGCTCAAACCCCAGCTGCCGGTGCTTGCTTGAGCCTACTTCTGAGCTCTTTCTCATTGACGATGCCACTGTGCCTGTGGCGGGAGTTTTACGGCCAGTGCTGCTGTTTGGATCTGGAACTCCCCCCACCCTGGATGGTGGTGTTGGGAGGTGGTGGAGCCCCTGGAGGTGGGTCCTCGTGGGAGGAAGTGAGGTCCCTGGGTTGTGCCCCTGAGGGCATGTTGGGACCGACCTGCTTGCTCTGGCTTTCTGGTCAAGGGGAACAGGCCTCCTCCTCCATTGGCTCCCACCACGACGAACTGTACTGTCATGGGGCCTCACAACCATGGATGGAGGCCTGTGAGCCACCAGCCAGAAGCACTCTATACTCTGGGTGGTGCAGGTGTCATGACAGTGATGGGAGGTGACGCGTGACGTCTGGAGTCAACAGTGCTCATTCTCCAGTGTGTTCAGTTTTCTGTGCTGGTTCCTGTCTTTCCACGTGAGTTTTCAGCGGAGATGCCCTCCACTGGTGGCCATTGCAGCTGTGGGGTGGCCACTTCTTTTCTGCTCTTCAGATTTGGCCACATGTTCCTGGTTCACCGCTGGGTATCTTAAGTGATTTGGATTGACATCCTTGACATTGTGCAGGTGATGGGGACTCTGGCTTCTGGAGTGTTGAGGCTTGGCTAGCCTCTGAGCTGCGCTCTCTTATTTATAGGGACAGTGACCACCCTTGCCCCAGTGATGGCATTGGCTTGTCATATGGAACTGACGTGGAACTTGGGGGTCTCACTCCCTGCTTCTCTGTCTCCTGGGGATGCTCCTCCCTCTGTAGCCTGACTGCCTTGTGTCCTCCTCCTGGGCCTGGTCTGCCTATGTCACTTGAGGGCAAAGTCTCAGAGCCAAAAACCTGCCATCCAGTGGCCTCTGCCATCGCTGAGCCCCCTACACCGCCCCCCGCCCCCCGCCCCAATCTCCTGTCAGGTCTCACGAGATGGATCTTAGCAGCACCTTTCCCCACTCTGCCCTCCCAATCCATGTTCCAGCCCTCCCTGGCCCTTGGTGACCCCTACCAGTGCCAACTCTCCCGAGGACCCCCAGGGAGTAGCCACAGCATGCACAGGGCTGTCCAACATGTGTTCTTGCAGTGGCGTCCACCTTCAGCTCAGCCTGAAGCTGTCTTTGGCTGTCTTTTGGCACCGTAGCCTTTCCCCACGTCTTGCACCGTAGCCTTTCCCCACGTCTTGCCTTGCGTCTGGGGGACCAAGGGCAGACTTTGGTGCTTCACTTCAGAATCACCTGAGTGTGGTATCTGTGTTGGGCTTACGAGTCCCGTGTTGCACGCCACTGTACCCCAGTGTAGTTGGAGCAATTGGTGAGATTGCACAGTCAAAACTGTCCTCAAGACCCCCGTCTGTGCAACAGATGGTGAATGGTGTGCAAAGCAGCTAAGGGGCAGGAGGCGTGGCCATTATTTAAGTGTGTTTTGCTAAGCATGCAGCGTTGCTTTTGTATCTGGTGAGTGAGTGCCAGGAACAGCTAAGAGCATCCTGAATGGGACCAGAAGAGCACTGGGGTCTTATTTCTGTGTGGGGGCTGCGTTTGTGTTTTGGTTGAAGCCACTGGGAGGGAGCTCCAGTGAAGCTGAGCAAAGCTGTGAGCCCTCAGCTGTTTTGGAAAGCAGTACATCAGACAGACCATGACAAATTGTTTGAAAATTGTTATAGAACACTAATTGGGTAGAAGCTTTCTGTTTCAGTCACTACCATTGATTTAAGAAAATGGAATTTGGAGCCATATTGACATAGATTTTAATCCTGATTTTCCAGTCACTGTTTTTATAAGTTTGGAGAGAAAATAAGGTCCAAGTTGCAATGTTCCCACCTTTATCGCCATATCACCTTTATCACAGTTATGATATTCTGTACCATAGAACTGTTGAGATAGGTTAGAAAGCTCTTCCAGCACTTGGCCAAGCCAGCACTGGCAGCAGCTGGAGCGTGGGCCCTTACCCTGCGCCGTGTCATGAGGACAGCAGCCCTGGACTCTTCCAGCGTGCTTACCCTCTGGGTGGCAGGGCTGTGTGGCTTCCAGCCCTTGGGTGATGGCAGACCCTCTGGCCAGTTTTCTTCACTCTTACTCTATTGCTGGGGTAACACCTAGAACCTAAAGGCCCTTTCAGGAAAATGAAACAAAGTATCTAAATGTTAGCACTTAAAGGTGGCAAAAGCGTTGTTTTATAGTGTCTTGGAAAGGGGCTAGGCCAGGCAGAGCCCCGGAGTCAGAAGGTGGGGAAGCTGTACACCCTCCGCCTGTGGCTTTGCTCCTGTCACTGTGCCATGCCTTGAGTTGTCTGACCTCTCTTACCTGCTGAGTGGGTTCAGGCTGATGTGTGTGTTGAAAGAGGAGGTCCAGGGCGGTTCCTTTGGTAATGGCCTCTGAAACGTGCTTTCTCTTCAGGTTGAGTACAGCAGAAGTTCTGAGGTTGAAGAGCTGAAAGCCATTATTGAAAATTTGCAAGAGAACCAGGAACGGTTACAAAAGGATAAAGCAGAAGAAATTGAACAGCTGCATGAGGTCATTGAGAAGCTGCAGAGTGAGCTGTCCCTTATGGGGCCCGTGGTCCATGAGCTCAGTGACAGTCAGGTGGGCAGCCTGCGCAATGAGCTTCTCTGTTCCCAGGCCCAAGGCCCTGGAGGGCAGGTGCTGCAGGCTGAGCTCGAGGCCGCACGTGCTGCCAAGGAGGCCCTGGGCCAGCTGTTGGCCGACCAGGCACGTGGACACAGCGAGGCCCTGGAGGCCCTACAGCAGCGCCTGCAAGCAGCAGAGGAGGCTGCTGCCCGGCAACTGGCTGAACTAGGACACAGTGTAGCCCTGAGGGAGGCTGAGGTCCAGGGCATGGCTTCCCGGATCCAGGAGCTCGAGGCCCTCCTGAAGGCAAGGGAAGCAACACTTGTGCAGAGAGATTCAGAAATCGGTGCTCTGAACAGGAGCAGAGCAGCACACTCCGCGGAGCTGGAGGCCGTCCTGCTGGCCTTGGCCCGCTTCCGCTGCGCCCTTGAACAGCAGCCTCGGGCTGCCCCGGAGGAGCCTCCTGAGCTCCAGCGGTTACGAGTGCAGTGTGTCCGCCTCAGCCGCCAGCTGCAGGCGCTGAGCCACCGGTTTCTGAGGTGCCAGGCGGAGCTGGGCCAGCAGCAGGCCTGTGTGGACGCACAGGCTGTGTGTGATGACTGGCTGGAGCAGGGGAGCGGAGGCCCCCACGGCCAAGGCCCACAGGTAGGCCTTGATCCCTGCTGGCCACGGATGCCCAGCTTCTGCACCTGAGGAGCTGGGGTCGCATGCGGCAGGGGCAGCTGGGCTGGGCTGGAGCGTTGGATTGAGTTTATTCTTCTACTTTCCATCTCGCAACTTGGATGACTTCTCTTGTGCTGGACAGTGGGGCTACATTTGCCGTTGGTGGCTCCTGGCAGGGTAGAGGAGGGAGCGTGGAGCACTGGCTTGGCTGGGCCCATGTGGGACCTACACAGGAGTCAGGCTGGGCCTCACTCTTTGGTACAGTGTCAGACTTGTTATTATTGGAACCCCTGAAGTGCTCCAGGGGTCACATGTGGGGATCACTGGCATTGATTCCCTCTCATCTAATCAAATGGCTATACAAGCATTTCCTGCATACAATGTTTTAAGCTCATTTCATTTTGGAACACAAAGCCCTATGTGACTTTTTCTTCTTAAAATATTCCTGTTTGCTTTTGAGTAGAGGACATCAGGGTTTAGCTGCACACTGCCCCTCACATGCCCGGGCAGAGCAGTTTCTGATCCAGATGCCTCCAGCCACCCTGTGCTGTGAGCCGCCTTGATGGGAGGGATGCCCCCTGCCTTGGGTCCTCAACCTGGCACTCTGACCTTGTGGGCATGGAGCAGAGGCAAGGTGCATTCCTCATGAGGTCCCTTCTGCCTAACAAGGCTCCAGCCTGGGCAGTCTTCAGCACAGCTTACAGTATCCAGACTTCTGCTTCACTCAGCTCTGACTGCATGTGCCTCCTGCTATTTCCTGTCAAGGACGATCTGCAGCCTGCCAAAGTCTTGGTGACGCTGAAGGACACTGGTTTCCACAAACCGGAAAGTGCAATGTCGGTGCTCACAGTCTGCCAGAGACAGCTGGAGGCGGAGCTACTCTTGGTGACAGAGGGCCTGTGCTTGAGCCCGGAGGATGTTGGCAGGGTGCCAGCAGGGATGCAGGTATGCAGGTGGCCGTGAGGGTGGGGCTGGGGTGCAGGTGCCTGGGCAACCCGTGTGAGATGTGAAGGTGTGTGCGTGTCACATGGTGCATGGCCTGTTTCTCCAGGGAGGGAAGGAGATGGAGAGGCTCAACCATGGTGGGGTAATAGGTATGTGGTGTGTCTGGGGTCAGGGAGGGATGCACACGGGGCACACATCCATTTCAGAAAGGACAAAGGTGTGCGAAAGCATATTATGGATTGGGACATGGGTATGTGGGCTTGGGGACTGCAGGTGCACAGCTGTGCATCCTGGGAGGCTGGGCACAGTGTGTGGAGCTCATGGTAATGAAGGCTCGTGGCCACATACAGCAGCAGGTTCTGGATGCATCTGCCCAGCCGTGACGGTGTGCCTTGTCCATCGTGAGATCTCCGCCAGCTGCATTGAAGACCGGCTTTGGACATGTTTGCCCTGGTCTGAGCAGCTAGGGGTTTTGTGAGGACCACGTTGCCCGGGCTTCACCCTGCTGCAGACCGTTGTGCCCCAAGTGTCGGTCCGACATTGAAATGCTTTAGGGTTTAGGTCTTGACTGCTGTTTTTCCTTCCAGGAGAGTTGGCTTACATTTTCCCTGGGAGTTTGTTCCTCAGCAGCCTTAGGCCACGGCAGGGCTCTGACTGAGCGAGGAGGCACATAGCCATGCTCCTCAGCCACATAGGCTCCACACTTTTTTCATGGTGTCTGTCAGTGCCTTCCTCCTGGGGGGATGTGCCCTGTGACCCTGCTGGGCCAGCCAGTCCCCATCTCGTCCTCACTGCCGGTCACCTGACTACTCAGCCCCACTTGCCTCAGGGGCGGTTCTGCTCGGGTCTTCCCAGATGGGCTGGTGTGCGTGGGTACCAAAGTCCCCTTGCCCTAGCTTATGTGAATGGTGGTGCAGCCGACCTGGCCCCTCCTGCCTGGGCCACATGCACCATGCTCACTGATTCCACAGTGGGCCTGGGCTGTGCCTCAGAGAGGACGAGTGAGCCTGTCATAGCCCTCAGGAGGGACACCTGCAGGTTTTCAGAGCAGTCGGCCCTGCAGCCTGTGTGTTTGCTTGTCCTTAGAAGGTGTGTGTTGACCAGGAGACCACCTGCAGACAGCTGCTGCTCGCAGGGCTGCTACCTGGGTCTCCGGCTCTTTCTGTTCACATATGCAGAGGCTGTGCCAGCCAGTGACCATGGAGATGGTTGTGGCAGTTGTTCTCCAGGCCCAAGACCTTGAAGCCTCGATTCTTTTTTTTTTTTTTTTTTCTTTTCACTAAGTCAAGCTTGAAATCTTAAGCGACTGGCAGGCAGAGGGCTTTCTTGGGTTCTCCCTGTGCACGTGCCAGGAAGTCCCTGAATGGGCTGCAGGCACCAGATGGTGCTGTGAGGCGCCCTGAGTTTACTGTGTGCATATTCGTCTTACCTGCAGGGTAAGAACAAGCGACTGGAAGATTGTCAGCTGCAGAAATTCGACCTCATAGCTCAGGTGAAACAACTTCAGAAAAAACTAAACCGGCTAGTACACTCCATGGCCTTCCAGGACATGGACGTGGGGGGCTCTGAGCCCCAGCAGCCCTCGGCAGCGGCCAGCCCGTCAGAAAACAGCTCCAGTGAGAGTTCCTGCGATGGAGAAGCGGCAGACGCCTCGCCTCCTGTCGCTGCATTTGCTCTCCCCACGACCCCGTGGGGTCTAATTGGCAGTACTAAAGGTCGGCATTCCTTGGTCAGGATGGAAATGCCATGTTTTCCCACTCGAGAACCATCAGAGGCACAGGACGAGCCCCTTTCCTCACAGACCAGTGATCCCAGCGAGTCCTGCCATGCCAAGGAGGCTGAGCCTGAGAAGGACCCACTCAGGGTGCTGGACCTGTCCTCCTGGAGCTCTCCTGAGGTCCTCCGGAAGGATGCGACCCTGGACCCCCAGCCCAGCTTCCCCCTGACACCCTGCTCAGGCGCTCTGAGCCTGCCCAGTGTCATGGCCTCCCCCCAGCCCGGGGCAGACTCGCTGCTGCAGGCCGACATGTCGGAGCTGCATTGTTACCCGGGCGGGTCAGCAGCAGGACCAGCCCTGCAGTGGGCAGGAGCCCTTCCAGCTGAGCAGCACCACCACCACATGGAGAGCACCGCTGCGGTAGGTGCTCCCTGCTCTGCCCCACTCAGGGTTCCCATGGGGACGGATCACAGAAGCGCCATTGTTGGCTCACCTGCCTGTGCAGGGGCCTTGCGGCTGTGGTGGCAGGACGCCTAGGTCACTCAGGCCTTTCCAACAAGAGCTGCCTCAGCAACCCGCCTGGTGTGTCAGCTGATGCCAGCGCCCTGCACCAGAGTCACAAACCCATCTGCTGGCCTGGTTGACATGAGGATTCTTGTCCAGAATGGTTTTAGATTTATTTTCAGTAACATTTCACGTCTCACAGGTTGTACATGTGCTAGTTCATTTTTTTAAACATTTTTTTTCTAGTGGTAGATAGACACAGTACCTTTATTTAATACTTTTTATGTGGTGCTGGGGATCGAACCCAGGGCCTCACACATGCTAAGCAAGCGCTCTATCACTGAACCACAACCGCAGCCCTGTGCAAGTTAATTTTAAGAACAATGTATCATTTTTTAATCAGATGATGTTTTTCCTGACAGCAACTTTGGGATTTTGTATCTTAAGTTAAAATAAAAATAATTTGGGGGATGTGTGTTTTCTGAAGTATCCATATACTATCATTTCACACAAAAAATTAAAAATCTGAAGTATTTGCTAGTGACTACTTGACATATTTGTAGAGACCACTGAAGTGCCGTAGGCACATTTGAGTCAATAGTGGAGCCTGGGGCCCAGAGGGCTCAGATTCTGAATGCTGGCACGTGCTGTTCGAGTGGGAACATGGCAATTCTGGCCCTAGAAGCTTCCATCCAAGCCAGGCGTGGGGCCCACACCTGTGATTCCTGCTGCTTGGGAGGCTGACAGGAGGATGGTGCCAGCCTGGGCGACTTAGCGAGACCCTGCCTCTCAACAGAACTTCACCAGGGCTGGGGATGCAGCTCAGAGGAGGCACTGGCCTCGGTGGGTGCGAGGGGATTAGAGGCCCAGAGGAGGTCGGCTGGTGAGTGGAGCCGTGCAGCTGCTGCTCTGTAGCTTCTCAGAGTCTGTCTGTCTGTCTGTCTGCAGGAGAAGGACGTCGAGGACTTTATCGCAACTGCTTCTAATTCTCAAGACACACGAAGATCGTCTCCTCTGGGGTTGGCAGGGGACTGTGATGGAAGTGAACACAGTGAGTCTTGGCTTGCTTTGCTCTCCCTCTTAGGGGGAGTAGGGCTCAGGCCTACCCCAGGATGCCCATCCTCACACCCCTGGCCACTGGCGAGCTGCACACCTGCTGCTGGCTGCACTGCACTCCGCACCGGCCGTGCGTTTCCTAGATAGCCCCACGCCTCACTCAGCATTAGAGCTGGCCCCTTGGCCTTGCTGATGTCCTCGTGGCAGCCCCCGCAGGTGGGCAGACATGGGGAGGTCAGCTAGGGCAGAGCAGCCAGCACCACTGGCTCTGCCTCCTGAAGTTGGGGAAGGGCAGTGGTGCTGCTCTGAGCTGCTCCGAGCTGCTCCTTGGCACACCTGTGTCTGGGTGTTCCCAGGGTGTCTGGGCTGCTGTGTCCTCCTGGGTCTTCACCGCAGGAACCTTGGCTGTGGGGCAGTCTCCAGGTTTTCCTTGTGCTTCCCAGGGCGGGGTCCTGAGGGAGGGCTGCAGACTTCAATCCCCAGCTTGGGCCCTCGCACACTGGCCTCACCACTGTGGCTGCCAAACGTCTTCATCTGACTTGACGGTTTCTCCTGTAAGGGTGTCTCTCTTCAAGTTAGCAATCAAGGTTTTGTTTTTTTGTTTTTTGATTCATCATTGCCTCTTCCATTGGTTTTTGAGAATGAGATCATGGTGAAATATAGTTCATTGGGGATTTAGCACTTGCTGAATGCTAATGAAGTACCTTTTTGCTGTTGCTGTCCTGTCTGCCCTGACTTTGGGTCCCTGTTCTCTGGGGACGCTCGACATTCTACTCTGGGAACAAACGTTTGCTTGTTTCTAGTCACCTTTGCCACTTCACATGACATTCATAGCAGTGGTGCTGTCTTGCCCAGCTCTGTGAGTGCCTGTGCCTGTGTCCCTGCAGAGTGTCCCTAGCATACATTTCCTCTATTCCTGTTCTGCTGCACACCCGCTGCTGGGCCACCCACGTGCCTGAGCCGTGTGTCCCCTGAGCCCCCCAGCACCTCTAATTCCTGGGCAGCCCCTTCCTTCCTTAATGGTGTTGTGCTGGAATGAAGCGGCTTCCCAGAGCTCTGGAGCGTGTGCTGGGAGGCTTCCGGAGACTCCCTGTCCCTGTCTCTGTCTCATTGGAGTTTGCCTTGGTACAGACTCCTGGGTTGGGAGTCATGTGTGCTTGGACTTGGAATGCTACCCACCCTGTCCTGCAGCTCCACACACCCTCAGTGACACCAGGGACCTACAGGGCTGCCTAGTTGGGGCGGCATGCAGCTGCTAGCCTCAAGAGCTCCCTCTTATTCCTTCTAATCATTTATCCTGTGGCCTTCTCTCTTCTTTCTGTAGTTTTTGCTAATGAAGCATTAGACCCCCTGCTCTGATTTTCTGATCTCTTTAATTTAGTTTTTCTCCTTGTCCTCGTCTCCACATTTTTGTGGAGCTTCTTAACCTTGGTGCTAGTGTGTCTCTGTTCTCCCACTTTGGATTCCTGAGAGGCTGGTCTGGGTGCTCCGTCCTGTACCCTTGTGTCTTGGCCTTGTAGCAGCAGGCCTCGTCTTGCTTCCCTGGAGATGGTAGCTGCTTTTCCTGCGTTGCCTTCTGTTGGCTGCACATCCAGTTTCTTCCCAGCATGCTCTCTTCTGGGTCTGAGGACCTGGACTGGCCCATCCTCCAGTGAGGCCTTGTCTCTGGACGTCTCACTTTCTGCTGGGGTCTGGAACTGGGTGCTCTGAAGGTGCCACCCCCTCACTGCCCTGCCTGCCGGGGGCCTGAGGATCAGATGGGGCTGCACACCTGGGAAGGTTCCAAGCCCCCTCCTGTCAGAGGACCGGTGCCCTGTCTCAGCTATGTTTGGGCACTCTCATCAGGCATGCGTGCCTTTTCTGGACCACATGGCTGCTGCCTGCCCAGCTGCTGCCCGCTCGCCTCAGGGCCGACACCGTCTGTTCCCTGCCACTCTGGCTCCCTTCCTTGAGCCCGTAGAGCACAGGCTCATGTGTGCAGCCGCTAGCGTGCTGGCTTGGGGAGGTTGTCAGCTAAGTGAGGGCTGCATGCCCTATATGCTTAGGAGCGCGGTGTCCCCAAGGCTCTCCTCCAGGCGTGGACGTTGGCATGGGCATGCAGGGTGGCCTTCCCTGACCTGGTGAGGTTTCTACTGCCTTGCCTGGTGCTCCTCAGCTCTCCTCCACTCATGGAGCTGTGCTGCAGCTGGAGGTGGGCTCTGTGGCCTGGTCTCACCATGTGGTGCCGTAGGTGGCAGCCTGGGCTTTGGAATGATGCTGAGCCCAGAATTGGGAAGACCCGAGGTCCCCACTGCTGGTTCTGCGACTCCTGCTCTCGTCTCCAGAGGGTCACAACAACCACCCGGAGTGATGCAGGAGAAGGAGGTCCACCCTCTGCACATGAAGGTAGGGACCAGCACTTCGTGGGGGTCAAGTGCATGTGTGTTAGTCCTAAGAGACAGGGAGAGTCCTCTTCCTGCATTTATTTATCATCATTTGTGGCTGATTGGGCGGAAATGATAGTGTGTGTTTGGTTTGGTTTTGGAGGCGGATCTCTGGTGGAATTCAGGTATAATTCCCAAATTTTAAGGAGTAAATTAGGTTGTTAATGAAAATTCTTCATACTTAAGTTTAGTAATTAACAAAAAAAAGCAAAAACTTCAGGGAAGTCTTGAGGGAGCCATCAAGAGGCTGCAGTGAGGCCAAGGGCTGTGGTTATTTGAGTCAGAACTTAAAGTCCCAAATGTGATTTTTGTAGATTTCTTAAATTGCTCCAAGTGCACTGTCTCCCTGTGTTGTTTTAGATGTCTTCTGGAGTGTAGAGTACCAGGGCCATGCTATGTGTAGGTGAGGGCCACGGGGCAGCCCCAGGGGCGACGCTCCTGCCTTGGTGCCAAGGTGCATCGTGGGAGCATGCCTGCCACCTTGTGTGGTCTCCGTGTGTGGTTCCTGTGTCCGTTGTGTGTCCCCCGTAGTCCCTGTGCTCCCTGGGGGGTAGCCCCTTTGGGTGGTCACTTGTGGTTGCTATTAGAGTAGCTCTACCCTGAGAGGCTGTGGAAGGCTGGGCTTGCAATGGTAGATCCGCAGAGAGCCCTTGAATACAGCCCTTGAATACAGCGGATAAGCAGCCTGAGGTGAGGCGACACCAGGAAGAGCTGTGGCTTAGGGAAGCCAGTGAGGACCTCTGGACAGGGTGGCAGGCCACATGCAGGTGGGACACACTTGGAGATTGCTCCTTGACAGAACCCCAGGGCCTGAGAGCAGAGGCTTGGCTCCCGGAAGCCGTGGTGATAGAGCCCTGGGCTGAGCCACCAGCGTCCAGGTGCTGTTGGTGCGCCACTACCTGGGTCTGGGCCTTGTCCATGTGGAGAAGGTTTTCTCACAGAAAACCCAGGGCTGCAGAGACACAGCACTCCCTGGCTGGGAAGCTGTACATAGAGGGCCGTGGGTTGTGAGTTTTCTGTCCAAGGGGTGCTTTTAAAACATGTTTCTCTTTGTTACAAAATCCAGAAATGGCGTACTTACAAAGTAGGAAGGGGCCCGCTGTCTGTAGCCAGGGAAACTGTCACTGGGCCCTGTGTGGATGGAGGTGGTGGGTGGGCTCTGCCTCCCAGTGGCACCCACCTGGCCCACCCTTCCTCCGGGCAGGGCTCAGTGTGCACCTACTTAGCATCGGAGACAGTGTGTTTCTTCTCCCTGCTAGGGACCAAACCCAGGCCTCATGTGTCCAGAAACGTTGTTTTAAAGTTGTCTTTCACGTAAGCACGGTGGGTTTCCAGCACATGTCAGTCATCCTGTCTTGGTCGTGTCCTTAGCATCGCAGCCGGCTCTACTGTGGGTGGCCAGGTCGCGCTCACCGCTCAGCGTCTTAGTGTTGCGTTTCCCCACTTGGCACTCCTGTAGTTTGCCCAGACGCAGTGGTGTGGGGAAGCCACGGATGCTCCACTGAGCCCTGTGCCGGCTGAGGGTCCTGGTGGCAGCCTGGCTACGCACACGGGCCCTGGAGCAGCTTCCTCAAAGTGTCTCAGAGCTGGGGAGGTGCTGGGCCCCAGCTTGGAGGAAAGATGGTGTTCCTGGGAGGAAGGAGAGAGGGAGCAGATGTCCTCCAGTAGCTGGGAAGGGAAGTCTGAAGCCCGTGGTGGGGACAGCTGGTGGCTATCTGTGTGCTCCCTCAGCGGGCACCACCACTGTGCAGGCAGCGTCCTCCTGCCCTGCAGTGCACTCCTGGATGGTGGCTGTTCCCCTTCCTCATGTGTTTCCCCTGCAGGCTTTGCTGCAGATGGTGTGTGACGAGAGCCACCAGATACTGGCATTATCGGAGAGCCGAGGCCTCCCCAGCACTCTGAGCAAGGGTGCGCCCTGGGCCTCCCTGGATTACTTCTCGAGTGAGGGGCAGGGCCTGCTGGAGGGGGCCCCAGAGAAAGGAGAGAAGGTATGGAATCACTGGCTCAGTGAGTGAGAAATACAGGGGTCTGTTTTTTCTTTTCTTTTTTTGGGGGTGGGGGGGGTGTGCTGGGGATAGAACCCAGGGCCTTGGGCATGCTGGGCAAGTGCTCTGCCACTAGCCTCACTCTATCCCGAGAAAGATCCGATTTTACTTGCATCTCACATCTGTTTTTCAAAGGACCTTGAGGACTTAGAGTGACAGCCAGGTCTGAGGGGAGCTGTGCACAGACACGGGGGTTTTGTCGCACGGCTAGGACAGATGAAAGCCCCCATACGGCACCCCTGCACCGCTGTGCACACCCCTAGCTGATGAGCTCTGGAAGTGAGAGGATCAGTGGAAGGCAGGCAGGGCTCTGGGGAGGCAGGACCAAGGAAGCCCAGCGGGTCACATGGCTCTGAGATCTCTAGGCATATCTGGGCCTGCCCATGGGACAGGCAGACTGACCCATTGGTCCTTACCACCCTCACCCTGCACGGCTATACCTCAGGCTGTCGCCTGGACCTGGCCCCTCCCAGTGCCCAGGGACTGCCTCAGCACACAGAATGGATGCCAAGACCCTTCTGAGTTTCATACCAGGCCCCACACTTCCCTCCCCATGCTCCATCCTCATCGTGATGTCTCTTGCTCTCAGTCCCCGACACCTGCTTTTCCCACTGGATGAAAGGGCCACAAGGGAGGGAAGAGCACGTCCTGGTGCTGGGAGCTGCTGGTGCCCATGGATGTGCCGCCTGCCCGGCCCCACTGACGGCCCTTGGGTAGGCCTGGGTACCCTCCCACAGGTGCCTGGGCCTGCTTGTACTTGGCTCATGCTACCCTGTCCTTGAGCAGCAGTGTGCCCACTCCTGGCCATGGCCCCTGGAGGCTGCCAGGTGCCAGCAGGGTAGCCATAACAGTCTTGGCTTTCTCTAGACCAGGCCCTGAGGGTGCAGCAGCCCAAGAGAAGAGAAATGTGTGAGCATTTCTTACTTCACTGTTTCTGCTTATGACAGTGATTCGCATCTGGCACTGAGTGACCCTGGGCCCTCTGGTCTCCTTTCCTTGTCAGAGTGGTTTCTCTCGCTCTCCTCCTGCCCAGCTGCCATAATAGAATCACAGGCTGCGGCTTAAACAACAGACGCTCATTTCTGACACTCTGGAGACTGGAGGCTGGGATCAGGGAGCCAGCACAGCTGGGCTCTGGTGAGCTCTGACTCCTGGTTTGCAGATGGCTCCTCTTTGCTGGGTCCTCAATGGTAGAGAGAGAGAGAGCACTTGTTATCTCATCCTCTTCTTAGAAACAAAGCCACAGTCCTGTTGGAGCAGGGCCCCACCCCTGGCCCCACTCAACTTTAATGAGGCCATGCCTCCAAGTGCGGTCACAGCGGGGCTGGGGGTCCAGCATATGTGTGGGAGAGCACTCGTAGCACCCACTGGTGAGAGCATGGAGGCTTTTTCTGCTGGGCTGAGGACAGAAGCTGGGGTCTCAGGCAGTGATTGGCCATCACTCTGCCACTCCCAGCCCAGCATGGGACTTTGCTTCGCCTTGACAGGAGTCTTCTGATACGCATCTCGACTGGAGGGGCCGCTTTCTGCAGGCCGTTCAAGAGGCATTGGAGAGGGAGCGGGAGAAACTGAAGGCGGAACTGCAGTCAAGGCCCAGCGGCCCAGACCCAGTGGACTACAGCTTCCTGTTTGAGCGGCTGGAGAAGGTTGTGCGAGAGCAGGTGAGCAGCAGCCCTGCACCTGCACCCTTTCAGTCCAGGACCCTGGCTCTGTTAGAGGCCAGCACCCCTGCTTCTTCCTGAACCTCACTCTCCTGGCACACCAGCCTCCGGGCTGCCCAGCACTCTGCACGTGGGGCCAGAGGATGAGGATACTGCAGGGCACCAGAGCCTGCTGCACCGCTGTGCCTGACAGGCAAGGGGTGCTGAGGGTCAGGGGCCAATGCTCCACCTGGGCCTAGAGCCGTGGGGGTGCTGGGGCCCATGCACCCACCACACTCCTGGGGTCCGTAGCCTGTCCCAACAGTGCTGGAAGCTCAGGCTTGCAAGGGTGGGCTGCAGAGGGACAAGTATGCACAAATTCTGCCTCCTTCCCCAGCGCCTGCCAGTCCTGTGCCTCACACCATGTCTCTTCTCTCACAGGGAGACCTGCAGGAGAAGGCTCAGAAGCACCAGCGCCTGCAGGACAGGAGTAGCCTGCTGTCTGAGGTCCAGGCCTTGCGTGCCCAGCTGCGTCTGACGCACCTGCAGAACCAGGAGAAGCTGCAGCAGCTGTGTGCAGCGCTGACCAGTGCAGAGGCCCGCGGAAGCCAGCGGGAGCACCAGCTGCGCAGGCAGGGTGGGTGTCACTGCTCTTGCTGCCTTGTGCCTCCGACCTCACGGCCCCCACTGGGTGTGCTCCTGTGGGGTATGGGACAGTGGCAGCTAGGCCCTCAGCCAGAGTGCTGGGGTCTCATGGGGCACCCAGGCTGCAGAACCCTGCTTCTGTGAGCGTGTGGGAGGCCTTGGGAGTGTTATGTGTTTCCACTTTCAGTTTTAGTTCTTTGGCCGTGTTTTGTAGTTGCTTACATCAGCTGTGAGTAAGTGATGCTTTTGGTTCTTTCCCCACTGGCTTTCTGGCCTTTGTGCAAGTCAGACCTGGGTGAATGCCCGTTCTTGTACTGGTCACTCCTTAGTGTGAGGAGCATTCTGCAGATGGCCTTGTGCTGGGTTCTGCCCAGTTGTGCATTCTAGGCTGTACTTGCTCTCGTCCTGTGTCTGCAAGGGCCCTGGTCTGTGGTCTTTCTCTCTCATGTACCCTTTTCTGGCTTTGTTGCATAGAAAGCACTGACCTCGTGGATGGGTGGGGCATGTCTCCTCCTCCTCTTATCCAGAGGAGTCTGTGCAGAGCTGGGTGATCTCTTCCATTGGTTCCAGGAGATTCTCCTGCAGAGCCGCGCAGGTTTGTCCCTGCGGGAGTATGTGGCAGGACTGGCTGGCCCTGGGGATGGCCTTGAGGGCACGTCATTACTTCTGGAGAGCCGGCCTAGGAGGGATGGACTCAGGACGAAGGAGTGCGTCCCCGCCACCTATTCAGCAGTTCTCTGACTCAGCCCTGCTCGCACACGCTTGGAACTCTTTTTGAGTAACGCTGTCTTGTGTTTTGATCTCTCTCAGTTGAGCTGTTGGCCTACAAGGTTGAGCAGGAAAAGTGCATAGCAAGTGACTTGCAGAGAACCCTGAGCAAAGAGCAGGAGACGGCAAGTGATGTCCGCAGACTCCTAGCACTGGAGCAGAGCGCAGCGCAGGACTTGAAGTCGGAGAACGCAAGGCTGCTGGAGTCCCTTGAGGAGGTGCAGCGGGAGTCCCTCCAGCTGAGGTATGCCCCAGCAGCCCCCTGTTGACTGTCAGCTGGGTCACAGGTCACCTCAGCCCCATCTGCTGCGGGGCTTGCAGAGAACCCTTGGGCTTGGGTCTGGGAATGAGGGATGGAGTCACACAGATGAGCGGGAGTGGCAGGCTGCCTTCCTGTCAGCATTCCTGATGTGCACACAGTGCCCCCGGCGGTCGCCTCACAGGTCTCTGCTGGACGGGAAGGAGAGTGACCTGAAGGCTGCGCTGGAGGAACTGGAGTGTGAGCGTGGGAAGGAGCGTGTCCTCCAGGCCCAGCAGGAGGAGCAGCAGCTGCAGCACCTGCAGAGGGAGGGCCAGAGTGCCAAGGCCCTGGAGGTAACTGGGCAACAGGGGCGCCCAGGCCTCCAGCCAGTGAGGTCAGGAGCAGGATGCAGAAACGGCCCCCACCGTCACGCCTGCCGCCCGCCTGGCTCTCCTTCCCAGCAGTGTGCCCAGTTGGTGGGAGCTTGAGGCAGTGGGAGAGGGCTGCGTCTTTAGGCAAAGTTCTACTCTGCGCTGACAGAACCACTGCACCGGGGAGGGGCAGCCCAGGTGGCCTATGAAGGCACATGGCTCTGCTCAGTGGTCCCTGCTGTCCCTGAGTGTTCATCTCTGGAAGGTGGGCCAGTCTTCTCCCTGACTGTCCACGCAGCCTGCCTGGTCTCTGCATGGCCCAGATCATTGGTGGGAATGCAGCGTCTTTGTCCTGTGTAGGCCTAACCAGTGACCTCTTGCTCAGAGCCGGTTCTCTGTCAGCTCTGTGGGTCAGGGCGCCTGCCTTTCAGAATCCCGGTTCACAGTATGCAGCACATGTGTGTCTTTGGGCCCTGGGTTTTGTGGTTTTCTGAGGACAGAAGGAGGGGTCTCCTGAGTGTGGGCGGGTGTGTCTGTTGACGTGAGGCCACTTCCACGCCTGTCGTAGACGACAGAAGCAAGACTTCCTGTGTGTGCAAACTTGGGAAGGCCCAACCCCTGGGTCACAACTCATGAACAGATGCTAGGCAGGAAAAAGTACTTAGCTGCTTTTCCTCACAATTATTTACTTTTCCCCATCTTGTTTTTTCACCAATGCAGGAGTTAAAAATATCTTTGGAGAAGCAACATGCTCAAAATAATCAGCTGTGTATTGCATTGAAACATGAGCGGATGGCCAAGGACAACCTGCAGCAGGAGCTGCAGATTGAGCACTCGCGCTGTGAAGCCTTGCTGGCCCAGGAGCGCAGCCAGCTATCCCAGCTCCAGGAGAGCCTAGAGGCAGAGAGGAGCCGCTCCCGGGAGCTGTCGGAGGCCCTGCAGCATGAGCGGGTCCTGACGGAGCAGCTGAGCCGCAGCACGCAGGAGAAACCTATGCAGCACACCCTGCTGCGGAAGCTGAAGGAGGAGAAGGCCCGCGTGCAGGAGCTCCAGGCCGTGCTTGCCAGGGTGCAGCAGCAGGCCCTGCACACCCAGCAGCAGCTGGAGGCCCAGGCCCAGGAGCACCGTGTGCAGCTCCAGAAGCAGCAGGAGGTAAGTGCCACCTTGAGGTTGGCGGTGGACACGCTGCAGACGCAGAGCCAGGAGCTGAGATGCTGCCTGGAGAGCAGCAGGGAGAAGGCAGCTTGGCCACAGGCAGAATTAGAGCAGTCACACACACGAGGGAGAGCGCACCAAGCCCGCAAGGAAGCCAGGAGGAGGATGCCGAGGCCCAGCCAGGCAGACGCCGAGGAGTGGAAGAAGTGGCAGAGAGACAAGGAGAAGCTGGTGAGAGCCGTCTGCGGCCGTTCGGGAGTTCTTAGAAAACCTGAGCAGTGAAGGGTAGGACAGTCCTCAAGGGGCTCCTCCTGGGCCTTTGTCCTCTGTCGAGTTCGAGTTCGAGTGTCCCCTTGCCAGCACCTCATCCTGCAACTTCCTCCAGCCTGGCAGAGAACTTTGAAATTGGGAAGCGCGATTCCTTCAGCGTATCTCCTTTTCAAGATGGTTTTGGCCATTTGGGCTCCTTGCAATTCCATGTGACTGAAGTTTGAGCTTCATTTCTGCACAAAGGCCATTGGGTTACAATAGGGATTGCATTCAGTCTGTGGATCGCTTGTGTCGTGCTGACATTTTGACAGGAAACGGCCTTCTGGCTGGGTATGGTTGGGCCACACCTGTGATTCCAGAGGCTTGGGAGGCTGAGACAGGAGGATCCGAAGTTCAGGGCGAGCCTTGGCAACTTAGGCAGACCCTGTCTCGAGGTAAAATAAGGGCTGAGGATGTGTCCTGGAGGTAGAACCATTTCCTCGTTTGTGGTAAGCCCTAGGTTCAATCTGCAGGGCTGCAAAAAAAGGGGAGAAAAAGCCGAGCCTTCTGGAGCTCCGGTGTGGACCGTCCTCTGGTCAGGCAGCCTGGCAGCAGTCTTTGGTAGCTCTCCCCAGTGTGTGGAAGCTCTTGTCTGTGTTTTTTCAGGGTCAGTTGAGATCTGTGGCTCTGGTCCTTTCCCCTGATGGTGTGTACGTGCCAAGTGGTTGGTCTCCATCTGAGATGTCCTCTCGTCCCTGGCACGAGCCCCTGTGGTCACGGCAGACCCTTCTTGCTGCAGGCTTCTGAGCTTGTTTTGCTGGTGTTCTGATGGGAATTTCTGAGCTGTGTTATAAGGGTCACTGGATGCAGTTTCCTTGTGATGTCTTTGATTTTAGAGTTGAAATCCCAGTGTCCTCAGGGGACAGGTTCAGAAGTGTTCTCTTGTGGGTCTTGAAGGCTTTTAATATTTAGATATGTTTTATGTCGACTCAGGGCTTTTCAAACAGTATCTTCACTGCTTGCTTTTGTATTTTATGAAATCATGAAAGAGGGTGTGTGTGCTTAACACACAGGCAAAACCAATGGCCTGGACCTTCCAAGGGTCTGCCAGCCGTGAAGTAGGAAAGGGACATCTGCTTCCTAAAGTAAAACTCTGGGTTTCTAGACATTTCAAGGATAAACCAGATCCTAACGTGACATGATGAGAGCTGTAGGAGTTCCTATCAGAAGTGTGCTTGGTGTGCCCAGCAGCTTCATGAGATAGAACTCGGGTACCAGTGGGTTCTTCCACTTCAGTCGCACGGTTTGGGAGGTGAGGGTTGATCCCGGCAGTGTTTGGGAGCTTCTCTCCACCCGGGCCAAGGCTGTGTTGGCTCAGCTCCCAAACACACAGCCCCGGGATGCCTGGCCTGCCGGTTGCTGTGGCCCTGCCTCTGCAGGGTGCTCCTGTGCATGGAGTCCCACGAGATGTGATCTACTGCCATCAAGGCTCCTGTGGACGCATTTCCCACATGTCAGGGGCACTTAATATTTTTTTTTTCCTGTTTAAAAAATTTCCTAAATGATTGTGTTTTATCACCAAACACATGGAAAGAATCAAGAATGTTGTGGAGGTGTAGACATCGGGTAGTGCCGCCAGCAGGGTCCTGGGCCACTATGTGTGCACTGATGTCCCTAGCGTGCCGGCTGGCACCTGGGAAGTGACTGTCTGACCATTGTGGTGCTGCAGGGTCTCTGCCCCTCTCTGCCAGAGGTCCCAAGCCACACCCATTCCATTTGGATGTTTCATGAAGTAAGCAGCGCCCCGATTCTGCGTAAAAGCCAAGGAGGCCTCTCCTTGGGCTCCGACTGCCCAGACGTGTGTGCAGTGGGGACAGGCCCTTGGAGTTTTCTGGCAGCTTCAGTGAACCTGAAGTTCAGAGCCTTGTTCTGGGTGTACTAAACTGAGTCTCCTGTGTGGTCATAAATTTTACTTTCCTCACGTGGAAAATGGGTAAAAGCACCTCTTGTATCACCCCTGTGGCTGGAGCACTGAGTGGACATCAGAAGGGGAGCCCTGCACCAGCCCAGCCCTGCAAGCTGTGTGCCTCAGGCCTGGGCCGGGCTCTTCTCCAGCAGTCTCAGTCTCGGCTCTTCCTGTCCATGTTTTTGATTCTTGTGAGGAGACCTGTCTGTGTCATGAGTGTCCCTCTGCCCTTTCTGAGGCGCCTGGTCCTGCCCTGTGGGGTCAGGGTACCCCGCAAGGTGCTCCAGTGTGTGTGGAGGTGTTCCTCCTGCAGCTCTGGGACCTGGGGGTGCTGGGCAGATTAACTCACCAAGAGGGCAGGTGCTTGCTCGGTGAGGTGAGGCTTTGGGACAGAGGGCCACCATGGACCTGGCCCAGGGCTACGGTGTGTGCAGGCGCAGGCCTGTCCACGTCTGTGTGAGGTGTGTTGTGCGTGAAGCTCGTCCTGCCTGAGTCTGCGCCACAGGCTCCTCTCCAGCAGGCCTCGAGGGCTCGCCTGCTCTGGTGTCAGCCCTGTGGCCTTCAGGAGTGAAGATGGGCTCCAGGGCGTGGCTGGGCCTGTGCAGGTGGAGGGCGCTCAGGGCGGGTGGGCCAGACCCCAGTGAGGCCCGCCACAGGCCCAGCCCCTCGTCTTGGAGACTCACCTCAGGCCTTCTCTGTTTCTGGCCCTGGCCGGCAGCGGGAGCTGCAACTGCAGCGCCAGAGGGACGCGCACAAGATGGAGCAGCTGCAGCAGGTGGTGCGAGGGCTGCGCGTGGAGGAGGAGGAGGAGGCGCCCCAGGGCGATGGCCCCCGCCCAGGCTCCCTGGAGTCGGACCTCCTGCAGGGGCAGCGGCAGGAGCTGGAGAGGATTCGCCAGCAGCTGCTCTGTGCTGCTGGACTCTTGGCCAGCTTCGTCAGCCGCACGGTGGACAGGTGACTCCCTGCACAGCGCCCGCACCTGCCACTCGCCCTAGGTGCTGGGAGCAATCAGGCTCTGAGCTCGTGGTGGTGGTGGGCTCACCCTTGTTCCCTTCCCAAGTCAGTGGGCAGGGCTTCCCCGAAAGACCCGATGAAACCCTGTCTTCTGCCTTCTCATGTCAGAGGAAAACCCTGTGACGCGCCGGGCATCTGACCAGGCTTCCGAGTTCCACACAGATGTGTTTTCTCCACGCTACCTGGAGAGCCCTGGGCACCCCTGCCCTGCTCGGGCAGGGTGGTGGTGCTGTGCTGCATCGCCCCAGGCCTCCAGGGCCACCACTCACACAACTGAGGCCAGACTCAGTGCCAGGAAGCTGTGCGGAGAAAGTTCTGTGTGGACTGGGGTGGGGGGGTGGGGGGCGCGGGCGCTCCCGTACACGATCAGCTAGTCGAGTTCTCCTGACTAGTAGGGTTCAGTGTACAGAGCAGCATAATTTCTAAGTAGTTTCATTTAGGACAGGATTTTTTAAAATACATTTTTAGCTGTAGGCGCACATGTTACCTTTATTTTATTGGTTTTTTAAAAAATATTTATTTTTTAGTTGTAGTTGGACAAAATACCTTCGTTTTATTCATTTTTTATGTGGTGCTGAGGATGGAACCCAGGGCCTTGCATGTGCTAGACAAGCACGCTACCGCTGAGCCACAGCTCCTGCCCTGTATTATTAATTTATTTTTATGTGGTGCTGAGGACTGAACCCAGTGCCCTACACGTGCCAGGCAAGCGCTAGACCGCCGAGCCGTACTCCTAGCCTCTCTCGGTCAGAATTTTTAACAATTGGCCCAGAATTTCAGCAGAAAGCAGAGGCGTGTGGGCACCTGGGCCTTGTACTCAGTGATGTGGGGCTGGAGATTTCTGTGCCTCTCAGACATGTCCACCTGCCGGGCCTGCCACCCTGCCTGGGACTGTGCCCCTCTACCACCCGGGAAGAGGGTTTCTCAGCCCCTAAGTCATGGAGAGGTGGCTGGAGGGGGTGACAGCTGATTATCATGCCCAAGGGCGGCCCAAGTATCGCAGTTACTGGGTGTGGGTGTGGGCTGAGGGTGATGGCTGCTGCACTTTCCTTGCCTCTCTTCATGGGGAGTCCTTGCGTAGCTAGGAGGAGAGCACATGAGATACATGTGGCCCTTGTGAATGCCCTTTTACCTTTACAGGACGATTCACGACTGGACTGTATCCAACGAGAAGGCAGTGTCATCTTTAGTGCAGACTTTACAGGGGCTGAAGTCTGAACTGAGCATGCCCACCTCCTCCCAGGTACCCTGCGCCCTCAGCCCTGACCTAAGGGCCAAGGTTCTCCAGAGGGATGTTGTGGCAGCACTCTGGGGTCTTTTGTGGGTTGTTGGTGGTTCCTCTCTCCCTTGCTGTTGGGGCTTTGCCATCTGGGTCCTGCCCCATGTGACCTCGTGCAGTGCCCTCTGCTTTGGCCATATTGTAGAGTCTTCGGGGCTCAGCCATGCAGTCCAATGAAGGCTGCGTGGTCTGAACCCCTCTGTGCAGGTGTGCTCTCTGCGGGGCCTGAGCTGGCCCTGGAGTGGCTGGTCTGCCAGGGCATGGGCTTCTCCACTTCCTGGATGCTCAGCCCACTCACTGTTTCTAAGGCCACAGCAAAAAATGAAACCCAATTCCTCCTGGAAAGTTCTGTGCCCTATGTGCAGTCTTTGGAAACATTCCTGGCTGCTGACATGGTCTCTGACAAATGTGTGATGTTTATGAAATCAGAAGTGTCTTGTGGCCAGGTGCTGTGTCTGTCATCCCAGCCATGTGGTAGGCTGGCCTCCATTAGCAGACCCTGTCTCAAAGTAGATGAAAGGGGCTGGTGTGGCCCAGTGGCACAGGGCCCTGGGCTCACCCCCCAGAGTGTTGTGCAACGCTGCCTGCTGTCAGGAGGCTGCCACTATCCCCCCCCCCCCCCAACGTCCTGGGGCAGCCACTGGTGAGCTCTGCTACGTGCCCTCTGATTTGGGAGGTAATGGGCCTATCTTACAGGACTTGCACATTGACCCCAAGGATGAGCACAATACTGCTTGTCACCTCTTTGAGTGCCACCTCTGTTTGTGGTACTCCTAGAACAACTAGGAGAGGTGACTGTAACAGGCCCGTGTTACTCATGCTGTCCAGTGTTGTGAAAAGTTTGCTTCCTTGAGGAGGAAAAGATGGGAGTAGAAGAGTTGGTGTTTCCTGCCTGGTAAAGGGTTAGCGGCACCCAGCTGCACAGCTTCCTGTCAGACTCCCAGCTTTGGCCAGCGGCAGCAGAACAATGTGCATGCTCTCTTTATTTCCTCCTTTTAAGAAGAAAACGGCAGCAGAGCTCCAAGTCCAGCTGGTGGACCTGCTGCTACAGGACAACAACGCGCTCACCAGCGCCCTCAGCACAGCGGCCCGGGAGGAGGCGGAGCTGCGCAGGGTAGTGTCCCGGCTGGAGAGGACCTTGAAGCACCACGCGCAGAAGGGCTGTGTCCTGGGCGTAGGTGTCCGCCCCAGACCTGTGTCTCGGTCCTTCCTGTCCTGGGTGGTGGTCTGAGACTGCGTTGGGCTGTGCTGCCTAGGCTGGTCTCTACCTCCTGCCCTGGCCTCCTGAGCACCCAGTGTTATCTGTAAGAAGCCACCACACGGTGCTTGAGGGGGGCAGGGGTGTACCGGGGTGTACCGTCCATGGTCAGTGCAGCCTCAGTTGCATCCTGGGCTCAGGGAGACCCATGCACAGCTCCCGCCCATCCATGCTGGGCCTCCCCTACAAAAGTCCTGGGAGAAGCCAGGTGTTGGCACACGACCTTCTCCCCTGGGGTGAGGCCCTGGCCACGATCTCCTGCCTCAGTTTGCTGTTAGTCATCCTTCTCAAGGTGTTCTTACTGAAAGACAGCTCCAGCTTCTCGGGGAGCTTGAGACTTGGCAACTTAGTGAGACCTTGCCTCAAACGTAAAAATAAAAAAAAAGGGTGGGAATGTAGCTCCGGGGTGGAGCACCAAGCATTCAATCCCCAGTACTGCAGAAATAAAAAGAAGAGCTTTGTAGAGGGTCCTGGCTGTGGTTCGTTACAGAGGTCGGGCAGGTCTGCCTGGAAGCACGACAGGACAGTTCCACGGTGCTCAGACCCTGGTCGGCCCACACTGGAGGCAAGCGAGGAAGCAAATATCTCCAGCGTCAAAGTAAGATTAAGCCCATTTGGGTGTTGGGGTATAGAGGAAGGCCAAGCCCATGTGGGTACTGGGGCACAGAGTGAGTCCGTGCCCCGGTGGGTACTGGGGTACAGAGTAAGACCAAGCCTACCTGGGTGTTGGGGCACAGAGTAAGACCAAGCCCGCCTGGGTGCTGGGGCACAGAGTAAGACCAAGCCCACCTGGGTGCTGGGGCATAGAATGAGACCATATCCCTGTGGGAATCGGGGTACAGGGTGTTGTGGCACTTTTAGATCACGTGTTGGTCAGTGGTCAGCTGCAGACAAATGCAGGGACACAGCATGCAAGTCTCGTCTGCTGTGTGTGTGGCTGTCGGCACGTCCACAAAATGCACACCCTTATAGGGAGGAGGCACCAGCCGTGGGCTGGCTCTGAGGAAAAGCTGCTTATCAGTGTGGGCACAGAGCTCTGTGTGCAGCCTCCTGGTTCCCTGTAGTGGTCCGCCACCCAGGTTGTCCGCAGACCCATGGTGAAACCCCCTCCCCCTGGCCCAGTTTGCCCCTTACTTAGGTGGGAGTTCCAGGGTCCTTCATGGGGACTCAGCTGATGGTGCTGTGAGGGGTGGTGTGTCCAGGTTTTGTCTGGTAGACAGGTTGATGGAGCACCACAGGGTGTCCAGGACTGACTTCATGATAGGTTGCTGAGGAGCCACAGAGTACTGCATGAGGGGCAGCAGGTATCTGTGCTGCTTGTGAAGGAGCCTGCTGTGTTTTTCCTTCAGATGGAGAAGTTGTACCTGCATTATTTGAGAGCAGAGAGCTTCAGAAAAGCTCTGATTTATCAGAAGAAATATCTGTTACTGTTGATCGGCGGGTTCCAGGATTCAGAGCAGGAGACACTCTCCATGATTGCTCACTTGGGGGTGTTCCCTTCCAAAGCAGATAAGAAGGGAGCCTCATCTCGTCCTTTCACGAGGTTCCGCACCGCTGTCAGGGTGGTCATCGCGGTTCTCAGGTAAGCCCGCCCTACACGTGCTCTCGGAGCGTGGAGGCTACTACTTGGAATGTGGCAGTGTTTTCTCATGAGAGGAGTGGCCTGGAGGCCTCAGACAACAGATGCCGTCTTCACAGTGTGGTGTTGTGTGTGTGTGGCTGTGCCTCTGCAGCAGGGAGGCCCAAAGGGGGTACTTCCCACCCTCCCACTGCTTCACACAGGGTTGTCGGCCAGCAGGCACACAGAGCGACATCAGGAACTGCCTTCTCCTTGTGGACTTCATTCTTTCTTCAGTCAGACTTCACAGACCAGCGGTTAGGTGCATAGAGGTCTGTCCCTCACCAAGCTGGCAGCCACTTCAGGCACCTGACCACTGGCGCTGGCAGCCCAGGCTCTGCCCCACTACGTAGTTACCCCTGTCTTCCTGGGAAAGCATTCTTCAGGCTCCTCTACCATTGGCTTGGGGCTTATTTTTGGAGCAGGAATGTGGGTCTCTAGTGCTTTTGGGAATTTCAGTCATTCCAGAGCTAACAATGGTAAAAACTCATTTTATGTTTTAATTTTAAAATTGCTGAGTTGCTAAGCATCCTGATGACCATGGAAGTGCCCTCCCAGGGCCAGGCTGGGGCCCATCTGGGGTGCTGCAGAGAGTGGGCTTGATGGCCAGCAGGGCAGGGGCAAGCGAAGGAGAGCACTCAGGGGATTGTGCTCTGGGCCTTCTCAAGGCCACAGACCTGATCTGTGGGGAGAAGGCCCTGCTCCAGGAGGTGTCTTGGAGAGTGCTGGGTGGAGGAGAAGGCCCTGCTCCAGGAGGCGTCTTGGAGAGTGCTGGGTGGAGGAGAAGCCCCTGCTCCAGGAGGCGTCTTGGAGAGTGCTGGGTGGGGAGAAGGCCCTGCTCCAGGGGGCGTCTTGGAGAGTGCTGGGTGGAGGAGAAGGCCCTGCTCCGGGAGGCGTCTTGGAGGGTGCTGGGTGGGGAGAAGGCCCTGCTCCAGGGGGTGTCTTGGAGAGTGCTGGGTGGAGGAGAAGGCCCTGCTCCAGGAGGTGTCTTGGAGAGTGCTGGGTGGGGAGAAGGCCCTGCTCCAGGGGGTGTCTTGGAGAGTGCTGGGTGGAGGAGAAGGCCCTGCTCCGGGAGGTGTCTTGGAGAGTGCTGGGTGAGGAGACGCCCTGCTCCAGGAGGTGTCTTGGAGAGTGCTGGGTGAGGAGACGCCCTGCTCCAGGAGGTGTCTTGGAGAGTGCTGGGTGGGGAGAAGGCCCTGCTCCAGGAGGTGTCTTGGAGAGTGCTGGGTGGGGAGAAGCCCCTGCTCCAGGAGGTGTCTTGGAGAGTGCTGGGTGGGAGAAGCCCCTGCTCCAGGAGGTGTCTTGGAGAGTGCTGGGTGGAGGAGAAGGCCCTGCTCCAGGAGGCGTCTTGGAGAGTGCTGGGTGGAGGAGAAGCCCCTGCTCCAGGAGGCGTCTTGGAGAGTGCTGGGTGGGGAGAAGGCCCTGCTCCAGGAGGTGTCTTGGAGAGTGCTGGGTGGGGAGAAGGCCCTGCTCCAGGAGGTGTCTTGGAGAGTGCTGGGTGGGAGAAGCCCCTGCTCCAGGAGGTGTCTTGGAGAGTGCTGGGTGGAGGAGAAGCCCCTGCTCCAGGAGGCGTCTTGGAGAGTGCTGGGTGGGGAGAAGCCCCTGCTCCAGGAGGTGTCTTGGAGAGTGCTGGGTGGAGGAGAAGGCCCTGCTCCAGGAGGTGTCTTGGAGAGTGCTGGGTGGAGGAGAAGGCCCTGCTCCAGGAGGTGTCTTGGAGAGTGCTGGGTGGGGAGAAGGTGAGTAGACTCTGAGGCTGCCTGCAGGGCCATGGGCCTGGGACCTCAGTTCCCTGGTCGCTGCCTCTGAAGGACCTGGGAGGGTCTTGTCTGGAGAGCCGGCCTGAGGACTGCACCCACCTCTTGCACATTGTGCCCCTGCCTCCTTGCCTCTCTGGCATTGTCTGGTGCTGTTGGTGGTAAGATGAAGCCTGCAAGGTTCCTTTTTCCTGGTCCCTGGTGCCACAGACTGTTTTGACCTAGACCCCGAGGGCAGAGCTGAGCTGTGGTCGGGTCTGTGGACCCAGTGTGTGGGAAGGCACTTATACTGTGTGCTGCATAGCCAGAGTGGCAGCCAGCCTGGTTGGTCATGGAGTCTGCATCGCTTAGGGGCTGCGAGGTCTAGGAGCGTTTCCAGTGCTCCTTTCATTTCCATTTTGCAGTTTTAAATGTGTTTTGTCCCCTTTCTTTGTAGGTTACGCTTCCTGGTTAAGAAATGGCAAGAGGTAGATCGGAAAGGAGTCCCACCACAAGGCAGAGCCCCCCGCCCAGGTGTGCTCGCCTGTCCTCTGTGCCGTAGTGTTTGTGTCAGTGTTGAGCCACTTTTCAGGATTACATAAGGCACTCTGAGGACTAGTGAGCCCAGCTAGCACAGCTATCAGAGGCAGGAGGAGAGCCGCAGTGCCAGGTCTGCATGCTGGCACCTGGAGTGGCTCTGCAGCACACGGAAGCGCCAACACGCAGAGTCTTCAGTAACTGGCATTGGATGGAGTCGACCGGGGTCCTGCATCCTGTTGGTCTTTTTCGAGGCTCTGCTCATCACCTGGGGCTCAGGCAGATTTCCTCTCTGCTGTTCTCTGGGCTGCCTGCCCCCTGCAGAGTGCACTGCGGGGTTTCTGACAGCAGGCCATCACCAGGAAGCAGGGCACTTCTGGGCCCTTATCCCAGCGTCTAGAGGACTGGACCATCTGGTGACTTGATGGTTCAGGCCATCAGGAAAACTTGTCTTCACTCTGGGCCATGCCTGGCCTTCAGAGTTTGTCCTCCTTCCTCCTGACCCCACTCCTCAGAGATGGTAGAGGCAGGACAACCCCACCTTACCCACAACCCTCTGAGGCTTTCCAACCATGGGCTGCCTATGCCAGTGCTAGGGGTTAGGGCCAGCCCTGGGAATGAAATACAGGTGATCAAAACCCAGGTCCTAAAACTTTTAAAAATATGGTATAATCTGAGTACCTTTAAAACGTTGAAACTGCTCTGAAGGCTCTTAAAAGCTTATCAGTCTTTGGTAGATGGGCCTCCCTACTCAAACACATTTCTTTCTTCTCCTCTTCTGATGTTGAATAACTGTGGGGAAGGGCCCCGAGTGCCACAGCAGCAGCTGTCTCCACCAGAAACCAGACTGACCCCACCAACCCAGGACGAGCCTTCTGGCCTCGCCAGGGACACTGCCCAAGGCTCTGGACCTGCAGCAGCAGCCTTTCCAAGCTGGAAGGAGAGGTCAGTTGTGGTGCTTCAGCTTGCTAACCTCTGTTGACATCTCCCTGCAGCCTATGGCTCCTTGGCACTGCCCCCCGCCCCCAGACAAGGCAAGGTGTGCATTGAGCTACGAGATCCACATACTGGTTCTACCAGGAGGTCTAGGCCTCACCAGATGCAGAGGGAAAATGGCCCTGGTAGGAGGACAGCCAAGTGAGGCTGGACAGCCTGTGCTTTGCCCAAGGGAAGGGCAGGTGGGCTACCTCAGGCTATGGGGTGAAGGATGCATATTTGATGGCCTAGTGAATGAAGTAACATGACAGTTTCTACTCACTCTAACTGTGAAACAGTCTAGAATTGGTTCTTAAAGCACTATGTATGTAGCATTTGCTGTTAAAGTCTTAGTGTTCTCTCTGCGATAAAGAAAAGATGTGAAGCTGCCCGGGGTGCCTGTTTCCCAGGAGCCTGGACAGCAGCTCCTGATGCCATCTTCTTTGCACACATCATGGTACCATCTGTTGGGTTCAATCTTTCCTTTTTTCTCTTTTCTCCTCATTTGGTGGTTTGAAGATCTGCTCCATCCCCAAATTCAAGATTAGAAAGAGCTCTGGCTGCCTCTCAAGATTCAGAACATTCTTTGACAGAATATATTCACCATTTAGAAATGATCCAGCAAAGACTAGTGGGGGTGCAACCAGGTAACGACAGTCCTCGGCATACTTGTTAAAATGACGTAACTCCCCCTGGGAGTGTGAGACAATGTAGGCAGGGGTGCTGGTGTTCTGCCCAGTCCTTGCCAGCTCTAGTCTTATGCTCATTGGGTGCAAAGTGGATGGGAGAGACATTCAGTGCCAGTCAGTCTGGCTCAGGCCTGGACTTTTTGTCCTTTCTCTTACATTGAGATTACATTGAGTTCTGTTTCTCTCTTTTTTAATATGTATTTTTAATATACACACTTATGTATTTATTTTAGTTGTGGTGGATACAATACCTTTATTCACTTTTATGTAGTGCTGATGATCAGACCCCTTGCTCTATCCCTGGGCCACAGCTGCAGCTCCTACCCAGTGTTTCTTGAGCATCATAATTAAGCCACGTTTCATTTTTACCAAAATTGAGATGAAATCAGTAATAGCATCTGGAAATTATGAGATTACTTTTAAAAGATGTGTGAAATCACTACCTTATTTTTACTTGTTTTTAGATTCTACTTCAAAGAAATCCTGCCGCCAGAAGACAAAACAGTGAATAAAGTCCTGTGGCTCTTAACCTGTGGCCTTTCTATTTGAGGAAAGGTGTTTTTTCCTAAGGAAAGCGCATGTGACCTGGGCACTCCTCATGAGCCCCTGATGCCAGCCCCAAGTGCCACCAAGTCCCTCCTCGAGGCGTTGCAGCAAAGCCACATGGAGCAGTTCTGGCAGATCTCTGTGTGTTCCTGCTCCCAGCCTCCTGGCCTCTGCGTGGCAGCTACATGGCTGCCCCAGGCCCGTCGGCAGAGCCCCGTGCCTCTTTGGGAGGGGAGTGAGGACAGCTTCCAGTTGTTTATTTTCTTAAGTGTACAGATGGGAACTTGTTTAAAGTTTTGAGTTTTAAACGCACACAGGTGGGAAGGAACAAAGTGTAAGCCCTGTTCTGTTGTGAGCAGCCTGGTGCTGGTGTCTGGTTCACCCAGTGTGTGCTTTTCATTGGCAAAAAATGAAAAAATAAAACCTAGATTTATGTCAGACTCTGGAAAGTCAAACGCGTGAGCGAGCTCAGGTCACTCTTCACTGTGCATCATCCTACTGTTCCTCATTCCTTTCGTTTAATTAGTGGGTATATGGTCACTGTTTGAAAATATTCATAATGAAAGATGAAGAAAATGCATCATGGTCCAGTAAAGTCCAGCCCAGGAATGCCTCCTAATTCCATTTTGCTCTGCCATTCACTGACATCAGTAGGGTGTCCCACAGTTCAATTCTGGCATCACCCCATCAAGAGTCCAGGGTGGAAAACAAAACCACTCTAGGTTTTCAAGGGGGTTGGATGCAAGGATTGGGCTGCTCTGATGACGGATGAGGTGGACCTGGACCACAAGGTGAAGCAGCTGGAGATGCACAACAGGTGAAGTGGTCACTGGGGCTCAGGACCAGGCCCCTCCCACAGAAGACAGTCCCCAAGGAGAGAGGAGATGCCGGGGCCAGGTGCTTTGCAGAATCCAACACCCCATGCAAAACCAAGATGGACACACAGGCAGATGGTCAGCAGAGTTCACCCCGGGCTACTTGTTCTCGCCTTTTATCCATGTCCTGTTACCAGAGTGTGAATTGATACACCTCCCTGACACCAGATAGCATCTTTCTCTCCAAGGCCCATGAAGCTTCCATTGCAGCAGTCTAGGCTACAATGCAGATGTCCTCCAGGCCCTGTGACTTGATGCCTGCAAACTGGTTTGTAAAGTAAATGCACCACGATCCCTCATGTAAAGTGAGAGGGGAGCTGGGCATGGTGCACACCTGTCCTCCCAGTGACTCCTCAGAGGGAGGAAGATTGCAAGTTCAAGGCCAGGCTAGGGAACTTAGTGTCTCAAAAAACAAAAAGGGCTGGGATGTAGCCCAATGATAAAGCACCCCTGGGTTCAATCCCCAGCATCCAAAACAGAGGAAATGAAAGAGGGTGTGTTTGATGCATACTTCAAAGTAAGGCACAACTAGTCATGGCTCTCGTTGGTATCTGTCACCTTCTTCCTTTGTATAGTCTTTGTTTTTCTGTCCCCTACTAGCATTGTGGCTGGTTGGGTGGCCTGTGCCTTCCCCCTGTAAGACAACACTGGTGACCTCTACTTCAGAGGACTTCTTTTTCTTCCCCTATATTGAACTTGAAGCACAAGTACCGTGAGGTGCTGGTGAGGCCCAGGTCGCAGACTTTGCTCACTGCCGCCTCCTGGGTTCTGGGACCAGGAACCCCCTGGCTCAGGAGCCCCATTCCCGTGTGTCTGTGCTGACAGCAGCCTTGGCTGCTGGTTCAACAGGACCCTGGTCACATCTGGTGGGAGCAGTCCTCCCAGAATAGGGTCATGGGCTGGAAAGCAAGAATTGGGTCCAAGTTCCTTTCCGATCTTCAGCCATTGGGCTTCCAGCTGTTGGAACTTATCAGGGCACATCCCAGCCGGGACTGTCTTCATCCTGTCTTCCCACCATTGGACAAGCTGCTGCTGGTGATGGGAGTTTGTGGCAAGATGGTACAGTCCTTGCTCAGAAACCCAGGGCCACACCATGAGAAGAGGTTTCTGATTAGAAGCAAAGGACAACTCTGCAGACAAGTTTTGGGAGGACAAGCAAGTCCATGTCTGAAACAGCAGTGGGCCAATGTGGGGACAACACACTGGAGCAGCGTGGCACCCGTGCTGCCCGGCCTATGTGATCCTTGCCTGCTAATTCCATTTTGCTCTGCCCTTCACTGACACCAGTAGGGTGTCCCACAGTTCAATTCTGGCACCACCCTGCAGGCTTCACAAGTTAGGGACTCGGTCTCCCAAGACTGCCTCCACAAGTGGGGTCCCCAGGCTACTCAGGATTCTACCCAGCCAACTACAAATTTGTGGTTCCCTACCTGTTTGGTAGTTTGCTGGGATGATCTAGGAAAGCACTGAATATGGGACTTTATTACTCAGGCTGCAACAGGAACATCCTGGTGGAAGGTACACAGCACTGGAGCAGGCTTCTGCACCCTCTGCAGCGTGACACCCCCACACAGGCTGTGCTCACCACCAGCCTGGGAGCTTGCTGGTCAAGGGTTTTTACCACGGCTTCACTACACATCCATGACTGAGATCACTGGCTCCATGATTGAACTCCTGGCTCATAAAAAAGACAGCATCATGCTCCAGGGGTCAGGGGCAGAGACTACACACACATGCACGTGTAGGTACCTAACAACACATGTAGGCAGCACTTCATGGAAAATGGCACACTGCTGCCTGTGTCTGGCATGACAGCATGGTGATGTAATGGGCCCCACCCAGCAGCAGCTGCTCTGGCAGAAGGGCAGAGTGGCCTGCTGAAGGTTGTCTTTCAACATCTGCTTGGTAATCCTGTCTTACAAGTTGGAGGTGACGTCTCACGGGTGTGCCTTAAACCCAGTAGCTCATGTATCACGCTACATATGCAAGCTGGATCACCTAGTTTCTTTTTATCTTTTTTGTAGCCCTGGGGACTTAGCCCAAGGGTTCTCTACCACTGAGCTATACCCTCAGCCCTTTATTTTGAGGTTTTGAGGCAGGGTCTCACTAACTTGCCCAGGCTGGCCTCAGACTTGAGATCCTCCTGTCTCAGCCTCACCAATTGGGATCACAGTCATGTACCACTGTTTCTTTTTCTCTATATTTTTTATTTTTAATTTTTATGGTACCAGGGATTGAACTCGGGGACATTCAACCACTGAGACATATGCCCAGCCCTATTTTGTATTTTATTTAGAGACCGGGTATCACTGAGTTGCTTAGTGCCTTATTGTTGCTGAGGCTGGCTTTGAACTCAAGATCCTCTGGGCTCAGCCTCCTGAGCTGCTGGGATTACAGGTGTTTGCCACCACGCCCAGCCCTACTAAACATAGTTGAGTAAAGGACTACTGAGAGATGCCATTGAGGACCACCACATACTTCCCCATTCCAACATAAACAGCTCTATCTCCTCTGCTGCCAAGATATGTTTTTTGTTTTTGCCTGCTGGTCCCTAGATGCAAGAACTCCAAAATTCCCAGAACTCATACACAGTCTATGGGCTCTTGGTGTGTTCTTGGTGAGTGTCCTATTTGGCCTGAGACAAATTAGAAAGGGCCAGACCCTCCCCAAAGGGTGTTTTCTGTATTCTTTCTTGGACAAGGGTTGTTTTTTGCAGCTGGCCAGCAGTTCTGGCCTGTGGAGTGGGGCTGCCTGGTGCTGCTCACCACAGCCACTGCTGGAATCAGATGGGGATGGAGCCAGAGGCTATGGGAGACTGGCGTCTCCCTGCTGGAGCCCAGTGCTGTCTCTGGGGCCACCACTGCTGTCATCGTGGCTGCTGCTGCTGGATTCAGTGGACAATGACCCCAGGCTTGCCCTGGGATTTTCCCAGTCTCCTGGGTGGTGGTAGTGAGCCTCTCTTCCAGTGCTGGCCAAAAGCTGAGCAGCACAGTGGTCCACAGCTGAGCGTGCGCCTGTATGAACTCCATTTCCTACATCCTTGGGATGCTCCTCAGAGAGCCGTCGGGAGTGCTGCAGCACAGGCTCCAGCAACCCTGCTTGGGGGGGTCTCTTGCTCGGCCTTCTCATGATTTCTATCTGAACTGAGCAAAAGAACCCTTGGGCTCTGTCTCTCTTCTTTCTCTCTTCGCTCTCCCCCTCTCTCCTTTCTCCCACCCTCCTTCCCTGTGGTCACTTTTGCTTTGCTGGCTACCAACTGAGCTATACCCCCAGCCCATGTTTATTTTTTTAGTGTGGTACTAAGGGTTGGACGCAGGGGCTCACACATGCTAGGCAGGCGCTCTACCACAGCTACAAAGCCAGCCCTCTCCTTCCTTCTTCAAACGATGATGGTATGACACGATATGTGACAGGGTTGGACGTTTCTCTCCTGGATGGCTATTAAACCTGCAGTAGGATACTTTGTTTGTCCCACAGCGGAGGATCTCTAAAGGATCTTCAAGATAGAAGGAGTGAGCCCTAGAGACTCTTCCCGTGATATCAAACCTCTCTTCTACTCTTTTCGTCTGGAAAATGGAAACCCAAAGTTTAAATAAATAAATAATAAACAATAAAAGCAAATTTTGGGAAAAAAAAGAAACTGGGCTGACTGGCAATGTGACCTTTGACCCTGAAGAATCTAAATGTGGAGGACAGGAACCACAAAGTTCCCCAGTGTTACTGGGAATGATGGTACGGGGGCTGCTCTTGTTCCTGCCCCTTGGTTTTCAGACACCTGTTCTCTCTCTTTGTGGAAATGGTTTGAATTTAATGTACCCTAGCAAATAGCATTCAGTCTTCAGAGTACCCCCAACTGGACAGTTCAGCTGTGCCTCTATCCAGGCACTCCATCAGGTGGTGGGTCCCACAGCCACTCCACTTCCATGGTATACAACAAATCCCTGTTTGGAATGTTAGGTGGGAAGCTGTGTCAATGGAACAAACACTTGTGGGTGATATTTGTGGGCAGAAAAGTCAAATCCAGATCCGGAATGAGTCTCTTGTGAAAATGAACCACTGGCTCATCATGGAAAATGTTACAGTGGAAGACTTCCAGCATCAACTAGATTGGTTCATTCCTGATTTAAGGAGCCATAATTTTGAGCCTAGTATTGGTCTCTTTTGCTGACAAGTTAGACATTGAGTGGCAGCTAGGGGTTAGGTCAGCTTTGGTCAGAGAACCAATGCACTTAGGCTCATGAATAACCTCCACGTCCACACAACTTTGGCAGCTTTGTCCGTGTGCCATCATGTCATGAATAGCTTAGCTGTTATGAGAGATGCTGTCCAATGTCAGCTGTCTGCGTCATTCTGTCCACTTGGTTGGGTAGTTGTTCTTTCATGGAGACTGTGTTGTGGGCATTAGCATTCATACAAAGACCATCAAGCTTAGTACCTACTGCAATGTCTAGCTACATGACTTTGCAGACATTTTGGGGCCCATCTTCAAACTGCTTTTCCTTGACCAGCTACCCAGGCCATCCATTGCTGCCCATCTCACCTTGGAGCCCTGTCTGAAATGCTGCCTAGTGGGAGCATGTGTATGTTCCTTCCACCATTTCTCATGGCTACCCCTGAGTGTGGCTGTAACTACTGTTTTCATTTTGAACTGAGTTAACCTATCATCTGTGAACCAAGTTAACAGAGTTCAAGATTTTTCTTTCTATCAACTGGTAGTTAGAGTTCCCCGCAATGGTCATTCATACATGTGAAATGACAGTCTCAGATACAACAGTAGTGGACATTCTGCAGCTTGCTTGATGACCTCTGTACATTCTCATGCTCAATCCCAAATGTATTGCTTCCATTTGATGGGGACTGCTGCTGGGTCCAGCTAACTTTATGTGTTGCCTATCGTAATTAGAAGTTTGGGTTGCACAGACACTTGGTATCTTGTAATCAGGTGCTCCATCTCCATCAGAAAGCCAGCGTGTGTACGTGTATAGAATCCCCTGCAAAGGCAGACAGTTCTCTGCTCCAGGTGGCAGGACAGAACCTTAAGGTCCTTTATTCTGAATCTCCCATTGGGTCATGAAGGAAATTACACATGCCTCACTCTTCACCACCGACACGGATGCCATACCTGCTAGACTGTGTGGCCCAGCCAGGAGAGCTGCTTGCATCACTTCCTGGACCTAATGCAGAGGCTTTCCTTTCTGGACTGTTTTCAAAACTGGTGGTCTTCCACATTCTCCTATGAGTGGGCCAGGGCAATATTCTGAGGCGTGGAACACACTGCCGTTAGAACCCGAGGCAAGAACCAGCTCAAGAATCATCAGATGTCAAAATAAAATAAAATAAATAGAGAATCAAAAAAAAAAAAAAAAGAAAAGAAAAATCTGAATTGATAGTAATATAAATAATTTTTCAATTAAAAAAAAAGAATCATCAAATGTCTAGCTTTCTCAACAGCAGGAGGTCCAGATACAGTAATTCCTCTATTTTGGAAGGGATACTCTATAATACCCCTATATCCTAAAAAAAAAAAAAAAAAAAAAAAAAGGATGTAGCCAGTCTCTGAATTTTCTCAGCCTTTATCTCCAACTTTGGAGCAGCTAGGTATTACCAAGTTCTCCAGCATCTTCTGTCCTGCTCATCTGGCTGATCAACCTAATGTCACTGATGTAAAGGAAATGTCTTTAGGATGCTGAGGTGGTCACTGATATCTTATATGTTAGGAAACTATTTGATTTTACATTCTAGCTTCCTTCATCATAATTCCATCCTACAAAAACTTCTCAACATGCTAGTGCTTAAAGCTTGTGATGGGTGATATGGTGTCTCCCAGAAAGAATGCCTAGGTCTTAACACTGGGTACCAGTGAATGTGACCTTATTTGGAAGTGGATCCCGAACATGACAGAATTGAGCTCATTAGGTACACCCACATCAAGTACAGATGGTTTCTTTATAAAAAAGGGAAATTCGGGTACACAGATCACCATGTGGACGTGAAGGTAGAGACTGAGGCAATGCATGCATCTGGAAGCCAAGAACGTCAGACTGCAGGCAGCCACCAGGTGCGGAGGGAGGCAGGGAACAGACTGCTGGCCTTCAGATGGAGCCACTGCTGCATCTCAGAAGTCTAGTCTCCAGAACTTAGACAATAAACTGTTAAGTTACCCCGTGTATAGTACTGCAGCTGTCCCCTCTGCATCTCACATTTCTGCCTGAATTATCTTGAGAAACAACCATGATTTAACCTCTGCGTCCGGTCGGCGGGGAGGCGGAGCCCGGCCAGGTTGACAGCGCTGAGCCTCACGGGCTGGCTCCTTTGGCTCCTAGCAGGTTGGGATAGGGGGACCTTTGATGGCCTCCACCCAGAAGTCTGCAACCTCGTGCCAAAGGTCTTCTCCCAGCCAGGCAGGGTTCCAAGCTAACATCAGGCAGTTGCCTCGTGGGCTGTTTACTGTCAGAGAAAAACAGCACGGCGCTGCAGCGGGCAGGTTTCTTCGCCTGCAGGCGGACTTGGCTGGCGATTGCTCCTTCTCAGCGGTGCTGTTGAGGCGTGGGCGCAAGAGCGCAAGGGCGACCGAGCCCTGCACGTCTCCCGGAGCCACGATCACCGCAGACTCGGGTCACCTGGCCCGGCCTTTGCGGCGCAGGACAGCGTTTCCGGCGCGAGCTCACCTGGCCCACGACTCACCACAGAACGGGTCGGGGGAGAGCGCGGAGTCTGCGCAGTGTCCGCGCCGGAGCTCGCGGACGCAGCACCCAGATGCAGGCAGGCGGAACCGCGCGAGTCCGGGAGCACCACCGGAGCCCGCTGCAGCCGGCGCCCGGGAGCCTGAGCCCCGCTCCGCCACGCCCACGCACGGGTGGGGCCCGCTGCGGGAGAGGCTCGCATCTTGCCCAGTTGGGGCCTGGGGCGGCCCGAGGCACTCTCTGGACCAATGGAAGCGAGCCTTTCGTGTTGCTGGGCGGGGCCGGGAGGCTGGGCCGGGCTGAGACCCGCCGCGCACGCGCGCTTCATGCGCCCGTTCTTCCGCGCAGGCGCGCTCCGGGGCTGGCCTGGGCGGCAAGACGAGGCTGCTGGGCCGGGCGGCGGCGCAGAAGACCTGCCTGCGCCCGTGCCCCCGCCTGTGCGGAGCCGCCCGGGCCTCGCTCCGCCCGCCGCCGGCTGCCAGCGACTGCTGCGGCTCTGCAGGCCGCGGAGAGCGCGGTGGTCGCCTGTCTGCACGCCCACGGGGGCCATGGCCGACCGCGGGTGCCCGCTCGAGACTGCGCCGCTGCCCGTCGAGGTGCGCGAGAGCCTGGCGGAGCTGGAGCTGGAGCTGTCGGAAGGTGAGCGCTGGGCCCCGGGATCCTCAGGACCGCACCCGGAACCCGCCGCGCTCACCCCCGACCCTCACCACCCTCACCCGCGACCCTCACGGGGGACCCCGCCGCCCTCACCCGCGACCCTCACCCGCGACCCTCACGGGGGACCCCGCCGCCCTCACCCGCGACCCTCACCCGCGACCCTCACGGGGGACCCCGCTCCCCTCACCCGCGACCCTCACGGGGGACCCCGCTCCCCTCACCCGCGACCCTCACGGGGGACCCCGCCGCCCTCACCCGCGACCCTCACGGGGGACCCCGCCGCCCTCACCCGCGACCCTCACGGGGGACCCCGCTCCCCTCACCCGCGACCCTCACGGGGGACCCCGCCGCCCTCACCCGCGACCCTCACGGGGGACCCCGCTCCCCTCACCCGCGACCCTCACGGGGGACCCCGCTCCCCTCACCCGCGACCCTCACGGGGGACCCCGCTCCCCTCACCCGCGACCCTCACGCGGGACCCCGCCGCCCTCACCCGCGACCCTCACGGGGGACCCCGCTCCCCTCACCCGCGACCCTCACGGGGGACCCCGCTCCCCTCACCCGCGACCCTCACGGGGGACCCCGCCGCCCTCACCCGCGACCCTCACGGGGGACCCCGCCGCCCTCACCCGCGACCCTCACCCGCGACCCTCACGGGGGACCCCGCTCCCCTCACCCGCGACCCTCACGGGGGACCCCGCTCCCCTCACCCGCGACCCTCACGGGGGACCCCGCCGCCCTCACCCGCGACCCTCACGGGGGACCCCGCCGCCCTCACCCGCGACCCTCACGGGGGACCCCGCCGCCCTCACCCGCGACCCTCACGGGGGACCCCGCTCCCCTCACCCGCGACCCTCACGGGGGACCCCGCTCCCCTCACCCGCGACCCTCACGGGGGACCCCGCTCCCCTCACCCGCGACCCTCACGCGGGACCCCGCCGCCCTCACCCGCGACCCTCACGGGGGACCCCGCTCCCCTCACCCGCGACCCTCACGGGGGACCCCGCCGCCCTCACCCGCGACCCTCACGGGGGACCCCGCCGCCCTCACCCGCGACCCTCACGCGGAACCCCGCCGCCCTCACCCGCGACCCTCACGCGGAACCCCGCCGCCCTCACCCGCGACCCTCACGGGGGACCCCGCTCCCCTCACCCGCGACCCTCACGGGGGACCCCGCCGCCCTCACCCGCGACCCTCACGCGGGACCCCGCCGCCCTCACCCGCGACCCTCACGGGGGACCCCGCCGCCCTCACCCGCGACCCTCACGGGGGACCCCGCGGCCCTCACCCGCGACCCTCACGGGGGACCCCGCCGCCCTCACCCGCGACCCTCACGCGGAACCCCGCCGCCCTCACCCCCGACCCTCACCACCCTCACCGCGACCCTCACGGGGGACCCCGCCGCCCTCACCCCCGACCCTCACCACCCTCACCGCGACCCTCACGGGGGACCCCGCTCCCCTCACCCGCGACCCTCACGGGGGACCCCGCTCCCCTCACCCGCTCCCCTCACGGGGGACCCCGCCGCCGTCACCCGCGCCCCTCACGCGGGACCCCGCCGCCCTCACCCCCGACCCTCACCACCCTCACCGCGACCCTCACGGGGGACCCCGCTCCCCTCACCCGCGACCCTCACGGGGGACCCCGCTCCCCTCACCCGCTCCCCTCACGGGGGACCCCGCCGCCGTCACCCGCTCCCCTCACGCGGGACCCCGCCGCCCTCACCCCCGACCCTCACCACCCTCACCGCGACCCTCACGGGGGACCCCGCCGCCCTCACCCCCGACCCTCACCACCCTCACCGCGACCCTCACGGGGGACCCCGCTCCCCTCACCCGCGACCCTCACGGGGGACCCCGCCGCCCTCACCCGCGACCCTCACGGGGGACCCCGCTCCCCTCACCCGCGACCCTCACGGGGGACCCCGCGACCCTCACCCGCTCCCCTCACGGGGGACCCCGCCGCCGTCACCCGCTCCCCTCACGCGGGACCCCGCCGCCCTCTGCAGATCCGGGCTGCCCTGCGGCAGGGGTCTGGGTCCTGCACGGTCTACTGGGCGGGGCAGGTGCTAGCTGCAGCGCCCCTGCGTCTTACGGGAGCTACTGCTGTCTCCCCTGATGCAGACCCCCCAGCCCAACTCGGACTCCTAGGCCCCGTACCCCGGGCCCCTGCAGAACTCCCAGCCCACTCCAGACCCTGCACCTGGCTTGAGTTGCCTCACCTGAAGATGGGGTAGTGACAGCCCTTCCCTCTGACATAGAGGCTGACACACCTTCATGTCTGCAGGGAGGTCAGTCCCCTGCAAGGAAATTTTGAAAGTTAAAAAATTTTTTAAAAGTCCAGTAAATGGTTGTCTAATCATTACAAATAGACTGGGATTTGGATCTTATTCCTCCCAAGGCCTGTGTCCTGACGGCCCATTCACTGTCACTGGCAAAAGAGTAAGTTCTCCCCCAGTATCAGGGAGGCCACGTAGTCCTGGAGGAAAAGCATCTGAACATTTAACTCTGCTTTTGAGACTTAAATGCATTTTTGGCTTTTAGAATCCACTCTTTCCACAATCTCATTATTTTTAATTAAAGCTTTATGATTATATGTCGTGGTTGGGTCCATCCTGACAAACTCAGACATGCATGCAAACAGATTTCAATTCATGATTCCCACGTTTCCCCTCCTGGCCTCCCTCCCCTCTCCCATTCTCCTTCCTCTACTAGACTGGCCAGTCTATGTATTTGTAATTGATTAGTTGTTATTTTTACTGTAAGTTTCAGATTGGTATGTTTTACTGTGGCTGGTATAGTGAATTCTTAAAACAACATCAAATTAAATAGGCATTGGCATGTACCAACTTGTAATTTTTGCCAACCTTAGGAGGTAGACACTTGTTGTTATCTGTTTTACACATAATAAAACATCTGCTTGGCAACTCTTTTGAATTTATCATTCGGATTCTTAAAGATTCTGTGATATGAGGCACATTTTAAAAAATGCAAGTGCAGTAAGAAATGGATGAATTTGAGAATTCTTGGTGATTAGATGTCCCTAGGATGTCTGACTAGGAATGATTCTGACAGGTCTAGTCAGACAATACTGAATTTGTTAGAGCTCCTTGTTTAGGGAAATGACAGGTGTAGCTTACTTTTTTTTTTTTCAGGAGGGTGGGTACCAGGGATTGAACTCAGGGGCACCTGACCACTGAACCTGAATAGGGCTGGGGAGCCCTATTTTGTATTTTATTTAGAGACAGGGTCTTGTGGAGTTGCTTAGCACCTCGCTTTTGCTGAGGCTGGCTTTGAACTCTGGATCCTCCTGCCTTAGTCTCCTGAGCTGCTGGGATTACAGGCGTGCACCACCATGCTGGTCATAGCTTACTTTTTATATAAGTAAATGTGCTTTTGCAGATTCTCCTAAGTTCTGCTTGGTATGCTCATTGTCCCTCAGTTTCTTGTGGCTGGATGCTCTGGTGCTTGTTAGGAGTTGACAGGTAACTAAATCACTTCATTTCCACAGAACTTTGTAACTTGTGTGGCAACACAAGAACTTCAGTGAAAGAAGTATTCCTTATGTAAAGTTTCTTATCTGTTGAACCCGTTAATACCAATGCTTTGAAATAGGTCAGGGATGTATGGGCTAACAGAAGGGCATAAGACTGTAACACAGGGCTGGGGATATAGCTCAGTTGGTCACCTTGCATGCACAAGGCCCTGGGTTCGATCCTTAGCACCAAAAAAAAAAAAAAAAAAAAGACTCTAACACAGAGATGAACTGAGAAGCCTGAGAAAGGTGGCCAGCAGGCATTCGGGGAAGAGGTGGAGAGCAGCAGCCTTGGTCTTCTCCCCTTTCCTAGACTGGCCCCACACCTTTCTTTTGGCCAAAATAGGTCAGCGCTTCCTTGTGCACAGCCAAGCTTGGCCCTGCTCCTGCACTTCACTGTTGGCCCCTGTAGTGTGTTGTGGTCATTGTTGACAGCGGGCCTCTCTGTTGGACTTGGAGATGCCTAGTTATGGACTGCGATTAGGCAGTTTTTTGGCATCTCCCCACAGGAGCTGGCCATTGTTAAGTGTCTCAAAATCTTCACAGAATTATAACATCTCTAAACCTGGGTTTGGTTGCTGTAAAAGGAGGTAAACACCAGCCTTATTGACATTCCAGAGTTTCTGTAAAGATTGACTCAGTGTGGTGAAAGCACATTGAAACTGAAAAGTGTTTTGTTTATAAATTAAAAAGACTTACTGCTAATGAATCATAGTCCTAAAACAAGTGTGATTTTTATATTTTAATTAAGCAGAGATTATAGGAAGTCGGACTCTTTTTTTTTTTTTTTGGCCTGTGATGTCCCCCTTCCCAGAAGATAAACTTCTGGTTCAGAAGAAAGTTATGTCAAAAAAGAGTAACTTCTCCATAACACTGACATTTGTCTGAGCGAGACTTTGCTTGGACTCAGTGTTGTTGCTGCTGCATGGGTAGGAGGGAAGTGGCACAGCCAATGCTACCTTGGAAGTGGTGGTAGATGGTGCCTGGACCACCTGGGAAGCCTGGCAGAGGAGACTAGTGGGCAGCGTCCCCTCCTTCCTTCATGCCTCACACAGGGCGTGGTCCCAGAGTGCTCTTGATTCTCATCTGCAGCAGTGATGGATGGGACCTTGGGGAATCCAACTTTGTTCTGATTTCCTCCTGTGGGCTGGGTTTACTGAGTTTCTATTATGGATCCCAGGAGGGAATAAAGCACAGCTATTTTCTTGCTCCTGTGTTTTTGTGTTTTTCTGGCCATTGTGCCATACTTGATTTAGGACCTCCTTCATGTCACCATGAGGATAAAGGGTGGAACTCCCTGGAACCCACTCTTCTTCCATGAACACACACAGAATTCATACCTGTGGCTTCCGAAGGCATATTAGAATGTTCATGGATGAAAGTGAGGTTGTTAGAAGCACAATTGTGATTTTTAAAAAAGAATTCCCAAGCCTTTGTGCTTTACCTGT